GGTTCTCAAAATTTAATACACAGCGACGTGGGACCCATGCACGGTTTGTTTGACCACGGATCTGTCTTTAGCGCTTAGTCCAGATCATTTTCCAAACGGCGTGGGCAGTTGCCTTGCCTGTGGCATGGAGGTCCGTTATCTGCCAAAGGCTTGTGAAAAGTCAGATTTGCAAACGGTGGTCGTTGTGGTGTTAGCCTCTGCCAATGGAAAAACGACTGAAGCACACACATAGAGCTCCAGATTTGGGTTCGTTGAGACGCTGCTTTAACCAACAAGACGGGTAAGTATGTGTTTGACAAAACTCGAACCTTGAATTAAACGATCATCTAACAGAACGTTCCTTTAGGTTGGTTCCTTTAACTTCGTAAACCTTGGCCCTTTCCAAATCGCAAACCCAGATTCGAGACATTCACGAAATGAAAGTAAAACTTCAGTTTTTGTACTTCCGCAGCGTGCGAGCCTCTCTTGGCATTTCGGTGGGAGTTTCGATGCAAACAGTTGTCCCCGTTTTAATTTGCCTGTGGCCCGAACATGTTGGGCTCAGCTTCGGGCTGGGTGTGCCTTGAAGGTAAAAGTTGAAAGGCTTGCAACATGAGTAGGACATTTCCGGCACGGAGGTGTGAGCTGTTGACCTTTGACCAAAGAGGTTTGGAGGACAGAAATATGCTGTTCTGACTTGGCCGCAGCATTTGGCTCCCATCTTCCAACAACGTTGCAGGTAAGGTGATTGAAAACGAACAAGAGGAAGCGTTCCATCTGGCCAACAGCTAGCTCTTTGATGCCGCGTTATAGTTTTGCCTTGTCTAAGCAGTGCACTGGTCCATCTACAGAATTGGCGACACTACTGCTATCCTGAAGCATGGCTGGTGTTAAGAAGGTCAGTGAGAAGGCCGGCAATTGTGACGTTCAGTTTGGTCGCGTCCATGATACGTAACTGTAATTACTGTGCTGACTCTGGCAGAATCTGTTGGACCGCATCCGCGCCTTCCAGCGCAGTGACAAAGCCAACAAGAAATGTGCTGATTGCACTGAGGTTTGCCAGTGCTCGCTTGTGGTTTTGGGATTGGGAAACAGGTTGTATGTGGTAGGGAGTCAACCTTCGGAGAAGGTTTTTTGGTGTCTTCACACATCGTGCATCGGACGTGGGTGCGTGCAGCCTTGAACATCCGTTGAACAGACTTGAATTCGATAGTTCGTGAGATGGAGGAGGAGTCGACAATTGGATGAGCTTTCGTTCTGTTTGCTTTTGCGATTTGGGCCTTCGCAGGTCGGGCCAACGTATGTGTGTCTCTCCTTCGCGACCTTCGTGTGCACCACATGCGGTGGACTTCACCGCGAATTCAGCCACAAAGTGAAGGCGGGCAGACTGTGGTGAAGTTGCCTTTTTTCGCTTGGCTGTCTTGATTTCGAACATGCAGAATCACCGGACTCTGCAATTCCTCAGGGCATTTCCGTTTCCAAGTGGACCGTGGAAGAAGTGGAAGACATCGAACGTGGGCCCTACGGACATGCGGGTTGATCCGGCAAACACTGTGTGAGACCTCAAACGGTGCTTGCTGTCTGTCGAGGCGGTGGAAATGCGAAAGACGCTGAGAAGTTCCTGGCTTCCTGGGATCCCCGTGATTTCCAAGAGCCGGATAGCACCGATCAAGCCAAGGCCACTGGAGTGCAGCGTGATCTTGTCGCTTGTTTTGGTATTGATAAAGCAAATGCCCCAGTGCCGGGACTTCATCAAGATGAAGTACATAGAAAAGCGCTGGGCCGGAATCCAAGCATGTGACGAGAATTTCGATGCTTTAGAAGCCGTGCCGAGCTTTCAAGGTTGCTAGGAATGGGGATCGTCATGAAAGAGATCGCTTTGAACAGCCTCGTGATCGTGACGGTGCAGGACCTGTCAAGCAGTGTTGTGTCAGAGTGCAAGCTTGCGAGACCTTCGGTTGATGGATAGGTGGCGACCGGAGCACCAGAGAAAGAAACGACGGCAGAGACAGACGTGCCGACGACCATTTGGATTCGCGAGGAGATCGCGAGCGGGAACGCAGAAGATCCCATGACGATCCTCGAGACGCAGATGACAATCGAGATCGTCGCGCCGCTCATGGAGGCAGAGACCGTGATCGGGACTGGGATCCCAGCAAGGATCACGACAGACACAGGAACAGGGACTTTGACCGTCCAGCTGATGGCTACAGGGATCGAGACCGGGATCGTGACAGGGACAGAGATCGCGACAGAGACTGGGACAGGGATCGCGACAGGGATCGCAACAGGGATTGGGATAGGGATCGAGACAGGGATCGCGACAGGGATCGCGACAGGGATCGCGAAAGGGATCGCGAAAGGGATCGCGAAAGGGATCGCGAAAGGGATCGCGACACGGATCGCGATAGAGATAGGGAAAGGGACAACGAGAGGTACAGGGACAAAGAGGAGATTGGCCGAAATCGTCGGGATCCTGACTGGAACGACGACGAACGTTCGTCTCGGAGGGATGGTGACAGACATTCAGATCGTTGGGAAAGTTACGACCGAGATGCCGACAGGCGGGAAGATCGCCGAGATCGAGATCACAGGCGGTCAGATGACAGAGACGTGAGAGAAGACGACCGTAGAGGAAGCCGCGAACGGTTCGAAGATGATGGTGACCGTCGGCAGAGTGCTGGACGGGAGCCGGGACGGAACCAGAGGCCGGGAACCCATGTGCGAATTTCACATGTTGAGTGTAGCAAAGAGTCTGATAGGGAACGTGTGGTTCTCAAAGGAAGCTGGTGTATGTTGCAACCGCTGCACTGGGTCCTCCGTCCCAGGAGTGACAACGATTTCTTTCCAGATGGAATGCAGGCGCCACCTGCTGCCCAGCGTGGGGCAGGTGGGCAGTGATCTGTGCCATGTCAGCGATGCATTCTCACCAAAACAAGGTTGTGTCTAAAGAATTGCGTAATCTCTGATGCCCTCAATGCACAAAGCTTTCCACATCCAGGAGAGCAATCGAGCGCCGACTGGGGTGACTTCTCGGGCGCAGGCAGTGGTGGGCCAATTCAAACGAACGGAAAAAACAACATGCATCATGGAAGCGACTACTACCTGGCTTGAAACGGACACATCGAAAGCCCCAGAAGTCTCAGGAGCACAGGGCGTTGCGCCGACAAACCCTCCCGCTCCAGCTTCTGGCGGCTCCTGGCCTCGACATTGCAGTGTCAACAGTGTCAGTGGTGCACTCCCCGAGCTGCATGGTTTTTGCCGAGGATTGCTGGACCTGGACCTTGACTTCACTCAGGCAAATCATTCGATATGTTCTGCGGATTGTGAGCCATGCCGACTTATAGGCTCCCCCTGCTGCTGCTCAGCAGGCTGGTTTGTTTGGTTGATGCTCACACGAGCCATGCTACATGTTCTTGAAGGGGAGGCTTCTGCTTGAGTGCCTAAGTCTACAGGCTCCTCAGGCTGCACCTGCGCCTGTTAGCCAAGCTCCGCAAGAAGTGCAGCCGCTGGGTGCTGAGCCATGTCTTTTGCGAACACCCTGCTTTGCCCCTCACGATATCGTGCCCAAGCATGTCGTGTAAATCGGCACTTCTCCCGAACGGAGTTCGAGCGCCATCATTATGAGTTTATCTGTAGCCCACCTGCTACCTTAGATTTCAGGGGGTAACTAGGCTGCAGCCTGTGGCTCCGGCGACTTGTTCGAAGCTGGATAGCCACTGAGGGTGGTCACTACGGCTCGATATTCCGCGTTCGATGATCTTTGTGATCCTCCGAGCTCAGCCGCTGTCCAGGACCGGTCAGTTCTTGGGGTGGGAGCATGGCAAAGCAACACTGCATGTCTGCGACATGGGAAGCACTAGCACTAGAAAGAGTTGTTGTGCAGGGTGCCCATCCGCCGCCAGTGCAGAGCTCCAAGCTGATCCCAGATCAGAGGAATCATAGAAGTGGCTGCCGCTTGAGGGTGTGGTGTAGAGTGTGGCATTCACATGCCAAGGCCTATGCAGCCCATGGCGATGCAGATGGGAGTGCAGTGATGCTGGCTTTGAGTTCCCGCTTCCTACAGACTGCACATCACCTGTGCTCATCAGCCAGGCCCGGTGTCCCGGGACAGCAGATGCCGCAGATGCCTATGTTGACCCCGCAGCAGATGCAGCAGATGAGCCCGGAGCAGCCAGACACCTGGAATTTGCGAACTCGCACGATCAAGACTTTTGCAGGATGTTTTCAGGTGTCAGTCGAAGCTGACACAGCTCCAGGGCACTCGAGATGCAGAAGTCTGAGAGTAGCAGATGTCAAGTTGCCTTGAGGCTCATGCAGTGGCAAATGACGATGCAGAATCAGATGCAGATGCCGGCGGCTAAGGGACGATGGTTACTTTTGCAGGGTGCTGGCTGCGTTCATGCTGCGACTCAGACTGCTTGCTGGAAGGATGATGCAGATCATGCAGAGCAAGCAGGGCAACAGTGTTGGTCAAATGCCATTGCCTGGGCCTGGCCAAGCAGGGCCCCTGGAATCCCTGGACAGCGAGTGTGGCGGCGTAACTTGTGTTGTAGAGTCAACTCTTGCTTGATTCAGCTTCAAACGCAGCTATGAACTACTCCCACGATTTGTGTGCAAGGTTGCTGCCGCTCCGGCTGCGCAAATCAATGTCGCACACTTATCTGCATTCCTGCGGTTTCTGGTTGTCGCATCCCACGCACCCACCAAGCCACAGCCACGGCCACCCAGCCACCCAGCCTCTAGCAGATGCCAGGCTCGGAAAGGGTCTGTGCAAGCATGGGCTTGGCCCTGCAATCTTGTTTATGCTAACGCACTACGAATTGACCCGCGGGTTATGCTTGTTTTTGCTTGTTTTTGTCTTGCAACCATAAGTTGTGCTGCCACCCTTGCTATGCCTGCTATGCTGCTGCTGTAGCATCCACTGCTGCTGCACATTTACTGCGTGGTCTTTCAACCATAAGTCCTGCTGCCACGCTTGCTATGCTGCTGCTGCCACTGCTGCTGCAATACACTCTCTACTTAGTTTGCTTTTGCAGACAAAGATATATAGTTTATGCAGAGCATCCATGCCGGAACCGTGATAACGTCCACCCCGACCTCATCCGTTCACGCAGAGCATCCATGCCGGAACCGTGATGACGTCCACCCCGACCTCATCCGTTCAGGCAGAGCATCCGTGCCGGAACCGTAATATCGTCCACCCCGACCTCATCCATTCACGCAGAGCATCCATGCCGGAACCGTGATAACGTCCACCCCGACCTCATCCGTTCAGGCAGAGCATCCGTGCCGGAACCGTAATATCGTCCACCCCGACCTCATCGGTTCTCGCAGAGCATCCATGCCGGCACCGTAATAACCCCATCTTTTCACGCAGAGCATCCATGCCGGAACCGTAATAACGTCCACCCCGACCCCATCCGTTTATGCAGCACATCCATGCCGGAACCGTGATAACGTCCACCCCGACTTCATCCGTTCACGCAGAGCATCCATGCCGGCACCGTCCACCCCGACCCCATCCGTTTACGCAGAGCATCCATGCAAAAATCCCAAGCAAACAAACCCAAAACCCTCCAGCTAGAAGCTTAAAACCAGCATCCCGTGCCCTACCGACGCAGTGCAAGCCCCAAAACCTTCAAGTTCAAAGCTTCAGCCCGACATCCCACGACATTGCTTTCGCATCGGCAAAACCACGAAAAACACGAGTTCTAACCATGAAACAATGACGAAAGAATGACCCGACAACTGAAGAGGTTGCGCAAGGCTGTCTTCCAAAACAACAACCACCGATAAAGCAGAAAACATCGTTTTTCCCCAGTGAAACTACAATTTTTGCCCTAACGCCCCTCAAGACTACAAAGGCTTGACAACACCGAAGCCCCAAAAACCCACACCTCCCCAGAAATCCGAGAAGGCCATTTCATCCGGAAAACTTTAAAGACATGTTGCCAGACAATCAAGCCATCAAACGCAAGATCGTGCTTTTGCTGTGGTAAAACCACCAAAATACTAGTTTCAGAGATAAAGCAATGACGAAAGCAAGCCCCGAAAGCTTTCGAGGTTGCGCAAGGATGTCTCCCCAAAACAAGAACTGATAATCCAGAAATCAGCGTTTTACCACGTTAAAACTGCAGTTTTGCTCTAAAAAACACTCGTGCTATCGCGCGGGTCGTTTCGCGTGGCGTTACCTCGTTTATATCACACCTCAAAGATGCATGGGACCTGTTCCGGATATTCCTCATGCGAGCCAAACAGTGTGTCTCCAGTATCAACACAAAACTCTCACTGCAGAAGGATGTGTTGAGGCGCAGCCACAGCAGGCATCTGTTGACTGAATGCTGGAAGCTTCCGACCCGTGTGGTGTGTGGGTAGCCTTGCATGGTCCGGTGCCTTTTTGGGGAGGTGTGTTGAAGTTTTCTTGTCCGCTGAGCTTGTCGCTTGCAGAGAGTCAAGACGGAGCGCTCTCACAGACAGGGATCAGATTCCTTCGGCTCCGCTTTTGTAGCTTTGGAGTTTCGAGGACAGCCTGCTCCGTTACAATTACAGCCCATGTATGGCATAATCGGCTTCCGAGGCTGCAAGTTGTGGAGGACGCCTGGTTGGGCGTGGCTTTTCTCTTGTGCAATCTGCCATGTTCAGCCATAGCTCATACCCGACATACAGTGAACAGCTGTGTAGCTTTCTGCTTGAGCATGCTGTTGGGAAGATAGATGCTCACACTTTGGGTTTAAAGTGTCGAGATCCCTTCCTCAGGATGCGGTTTCAGTGCGGCTCCTGCAGCTCAGGTGGGGCCAATCGGAGATCACAGGAATATGGTCTTGAATGTATGTATACCTCAGAGTGCTTGTGCTTCGACATGTTGCCCAGTACTGGAAGAGGCCAATGCAGCTCCGGCTGAGTCTTCGAACCCCTTCGGGCTTTTCTGAGCAGAGTGTCTCCAGATTTGCATTTCCCAATGCGGTTGTGCAATCTTACGGAGCTGCGCAGATCAAGCGTGCAGCTGGCTCGAACGCTTTCCCGCGTGTCACCTCGGCATCTCTGTGTACTTGGCTCAAGTTCAAGACCGTGAGAGCCAGCAGTGTCCGACGGCTGGCCAGAGCTGCAACTGGAGTCAGAAACCCGTCATGACTGAAGGCACGATATGCAGCATGACTTGCTGTATCTTGGTTGTACAGCTCCTCGTTTCAGTGCTTGTGGACGATTCTGTCATGTGCTTGACCGCGATTTTGCTTTTTCATCAAGCTTCGTGTGTCGCCTGCTACGGCAAGGCCTGCTCCGTCTCTCAGGGTTTGACTGCGTCCAACTGCATGCTGGTCATGAAGTCGTCTACTGCACCATGCGGCTATTCACACATTCTTGAGCCTCTTGATGCACACCCGAAGGATGATTAGCTGGCTTGCGTTTTGCTTCTGTTTGCTAGTTCGCTATGCCGCGGTCCTTCACGCACGTCTTGGACTTGCATTCAGCAATCCCATGCAGGTATGTGTGCATCCGCCTAGTTATTGCCAATATCGGTGCCGCGGAGCTCACAGCCTTCACTCCTTTATAGTGCCACTCTGGTGCACTCGGATAAGTTGTCGGAAGATGCAAGTCAAGGAAGATGTGCTTGCAAAGGTCAAAGATGCTGGCGGAACCGGCAGCACCGGCAACGGAAACTCTGCTGTCAGCCAAATTTGCTTGCGTATGCACAAGTTTCGAGAGTCGTAAGTGGAAGTGGAGCAAAGTACTCCAGAATGAGAGAGATGGACACCTGGTTAGGTGTGTCTTTCTCGAGATGTCCATACAAATACATGCATGATTTGAGACACGCGCATATATGTAGATACCCATCCATCTATTTGCTCAGCTTGCTAGTACCTATCTATCGACCTACCTATCTATCAATCACTCAACCAATCTATCTATCGATGTATCTATCTATCTATCTGTCTATCTATCTATCTATCTATCTATCTATCTGTCGATCTATTGATCTATCGATCTATCGATCTGTCTATCTATCTATCTATCTACCTGTCAGAAAACTATCCATCTATCTATATCTATCTATCTATCTATCTATCTGCCTATGTACCTACTTATGTATCTATCTGTTTATCTATCTATCTATCTGTCTATCTTTCTGTTTGTCTATCTATCTATCTATCTACCTATATCCATCTACCTATCTACCTATTTATTTATCTATCTGTCCATGTATCAATCTGTTTATCCATCTATCTATCTTTCTTTCTGTATGTAAATCATGCGTATATATATATATACACAGATCTATACATACATGCATGCATACTTACATACATGTATGTATTTACAGGTCTGTGTAGATATACATACCTTCACATTCATATTTCTGCTTGTGTTGATTTTCGTGTTCATGTCTGTGTACTTGTACACGCAGAGTTACACAAGAGGTGTATTTGCATTCGTTGTGTGCATCATCCTTGTGCCGCTTCTCCAAGGATCTCTTCGGCCGCATCGATGCCAACAACGATGGAGTGGTCTCTCGTGAGGAGTTTGAGAGGGCTATGGCTATGCAGGCCGACACCCCCAGCCCTGCAGGAGGTTGAGATGTTTGAGAAGCAGCCTCAATCATGAGCAGCACTGTTTCATAATCCCTACATTGTTGCCTATAGACATTGACATAAAGAGTTGCGTCATAGTGCCTTCAGAACTTATGTATAGTTACAGTTTCAGGGGTCTTGAAGCTTCGTGAACTAACAAGTAAACACACAGACACATATCTATATCTATATATATATATATATACACACATACATACTCTAAATAGCTGCTCTTACGGCAGCGTCGCAAGTGTCTACGTACAAAACTCGAGCAAATCATGCTTGAGCAGCTCTTCGTTGCACACTGACTCACTTCTCAGTTGCTCTTGAGTTCAACGTTAGGCGGTGACAGTCCGTACAGACATGGCTGGGTGTGTTTGTTTCTCTCGTTCCAGGCCCAGGGAGATCCGACGCTCACAATGTCTGCACCAACGAACACACAGCCGCTTGCTTGGCCCACTTGTGGCTCTGATGCTGGTGTGATGCAAACCCAGCAACCTGTTGAACTCAATGGACTGCGGCGTGTGCACATACTGAGGTTGGACATCAGTACCCTCGAGCCTGTGCTTACGCGCACTCGGCTGCGGAGCTTAGCATTGTGATCCTGATGGTAAAAAGTGTAACAAGTCAAGCGTGTAATCTGCTGGATCAAATGTCGCGCTTGCTGGCACCTTCTCTCTAGATTCAAGCCGGGTCCTGAGGGATCCCATCCGCAGCCAGAAGGGCGTGCACACGATCCAGGGACAGATACACACGTGGAGCTGACTTCTGGTTCGATCTGCCTAGCTGTTGGAAACGACGATGCTTTTCATGGTGTTTGCCAGGCAGAAGATCGAGGTTCCAAGCGAACGTGGACCTTACACCAACATTCAGACTGCTTCATCCTTGGATTGCATGGGCTTGTCGACGGATCTCCGCGAATGTTCTGACAATGACATGTCTGCCGCAGATCCACGCGAGAACGATGATGACGAAGGAGGCCAGCCCCGTTTTCAAAGGAACGGGTGAGGTGTGCCTAGATCTTAATTCTTCTCGATAATTAAGTGCTCAGGAAGCGGAGGCCGTGTATGTCACGGGAGCGACAACGGAAGTTGATGTGGCTCCGCAGGAGGTCCGAGTGGTGGAGGAGCCAGCGGCTCTCTGATGGTTTTCCGCAGTCCATGCTTGTGAGTTGCGATGGCATGCGATGGCTTCTTGAGGGCTGATGGTTGTTGAATTGGAACGGGAAGGGTCGAGGGCCGAGGTTGGTCGGCCAGTGTGCTGAACTTTCAGCAGTTGGGCTGTTTGAAGTGTCAGAGTGCTTGATCCTGCACGAGAGAATTCAGGCCTTCTCAACATGTTGACTGTTGTCAACATTGCGTTCAATACGCAATGTCGACCAGGAGAACCTTGTTCCTGGCGAGCTGACGCAGCACATTGTGGAGGTGCGGAGTTTGCATCATGGAGGCTGTTGGACCTCAGCCTCTCGGCAGGTACCGACCATTCAGGAGATCATCACGGAGCAGGCTCTGGGCACTGTGGTTTTGATGTTCCACTCCGTCCGCACTCATCACTCACGGATCGTTCCGTTTGAATCTCCTGCTGAGATTCCACTGCAGGAAGTTCCGGAGGTCCAGATCGTCAAGAGATTCAAGCAAGTCGCTGAGGACCTGCTTGCGCAAAAGAGCTCCCATTTTCGGCCTGATGTGCACTGCATGTCCATCATGACATGATGTGAGCTGATGACTGTTTATGTGTGCGAAGTAATTCAAACCCTGATGTGCGAGCAGCCTGCTGGATTGTGGAAGGACGGGCAGCTCGTCGACTTGCCAGGCACTCCGGCTTGGGAACGGAAGCTCCTTTCAGGTGAATCTCGTACGCCCACGCTTGTTTGATGGCTGTGAACTGCTCGAAAACCCTGAAGCCACTTCAGGCCCGGGAGCGCCGCAGCCAGCTCCAGCACCGCAGATGACCTTGCCGCCTATCACCGTGCAAGCGGCGCCGGTGCCGGCGCCCGCACCAGCGCCAGTCGCAGCGGCGCCAGCACCAGCACCGGCGCCAGCAACAGCACCGGCACCTGCCTTGCTGGATGCTCCCGCAGAGCCAATGCAGGCCACATATCTTGAGACTCCCTTTCCTAATATGTCTTCAAAACATGACTGCGCTGTTGCGAGGCGCCGGTGCTGACCCAGACGACGCCCTCGGTGGCGGCGCCCATCGTTGGGCAGGTGGTGCAGGCCCCTCCAATCTTCGTGATGGTGGCACCTCCAGCTGGCTCCTGAAATTCAATGAAGACCTTGGCTTGGCGGCGTGGCCTCTACCAGTTTGACTCCTGCTTGCCAAGGTCTTCTTGGATGCGGTACCTTACAAGGAGGGCCCCAAGCCAGGCCAGCCAATCGTGGAGAAGCCTGTCATCATCCCCAAGGACGAGATATCGCGTCACCGCGATGTTTGCTTCTGCCGATCACAATTCCGCTAGGAGAGGGTTGTCCACCAGCAGGTGGAAGAGGCCTCTTGATGATTCAATGGCAACATCATATAGCCCACGCTGAAGCTGTTCGAGTTCATGACACATCGGCGAAGGTGGTGGAAGTACCGGTTCCAGTTGTTCAGGAGGAAATCGTGCATGCCGGGTTCCCAGTTCGCAAATGGCAATGGAGGCCTCAGATATTTGAGGAGAGCATGTCTGTTGTAAATAACTGCTTAGCCAGGTGCCAAAAGTCATCACAGCCACTAGGCAAAAGCAGGTGCGATAGTTATTCTGCATGAGACCTGGATCATTTTGAAACGCATCGCCAGGTGGCGGTGGAGCAGATCGTGGACATTCCTGTGCATCAAGAGCAGGTAGAGATCGTGCAAGTGCCGAAGATCGTCGAGCAGAGGCTCGTCGTGACCTTTGTATCTGCAGCAACATCTTCCTTTGTGCTTCGAGGCAGAGAACTGTCATGAATCAGGTGGAAGAGGCTCGGCTCCGATTGCATAACACATGCTGGGAGCACACGTGGCTTCAGCAGTGCTACAGCTTGGCGGCGTGAGCAGGTGGTGGAAGTGCCAGTTCCAGTTACCCAGGAGGAGGTAGTCCATGTGCCAGTGGTGAAGACGGCGACACGCCAGCGCCAGGTCGGTCCACCTGTTGGGGTTTCGTTTCTCCGTAGCGTTCCCTGTTCTTTGGGCCTGTGTTTGAGCTTCCACTGCAGGTGCATGTGGAGGAGATCGTGGATGCCGAAACCCAAGTCCAGCAGTTGCCTGCCTTCCTGCTTCCTGCCTTTCGTTGCGAAGGTCCCAATAATTCAGGAGCAAGTGGAGCCAGTGCCTCACTGCTACACCCAGATGCCTCGGTTCACTTGAAGCGTGCGACGCTCGGCCGGCACGCTCAAACTGCTGCAATTCCTGTACGCTCAGGACGGTGCACGTTCCAAAGGCGCAGCTTTCACAAGTGCGGGTCATGCGACTCATGCTCGCTCCTTGCTCGACACGTGAGCGAGCGGTCCTAGCGAAAGAGAGAAGATGAGAGAGGCATCGCTTGAGAATGGTGAAATTTAGCGCAAGATGACTCGCGGCAGGTAGTTCAGCAGCGCCGGCTCTTCCAAACCCAGGTTGAGGAGGCGCTGATTCGGCACTGTGGCTGTGTGCATTTAACACACGCGTGGGTGCGTGTGTTCGCTTGCAACTGATTGAGTGCAAGGTGATGCAAAGATGTAGGCTCTAGAGCTTATCGTGATGCTCGTGCGATCGAGGTGGTTGAGGTGCCAGTCCCCATCAACCAGGCATGGGTCAACTCGGAAGAACTTGCCTCGGCTCAGCTCTTGATGAGGGAATCCAGCCGTTATGTGGAGTCAGAGTCCCAAGGAGGGAACAGCAAAAATACCGCCCATGTTCCGGGCAGGAAGAGATCGTGCACGTGCCGAAGGTGATGGAGCAGGAACGAGTAACGAACTTTCACGTTGAGGAATGGGTCGACATCCCAATCGAGTCTCGCGCTCCTTGGCTTCTCTCAGGCTGTGATTTCTTGCAGGCTCCACTGCAACTCTCGGATGTGTAGTCGACGCAGAAGGTGGAATCATAAGGGAGTTCGGCTATTACGAGAAGCGTCAGGGTTGGCTTCTGGTTTTACCTAGTCGCCAATCTCGGAGTACAAGCATGAACTAAGGCCAAAAGCTTCCCGAAGGAAGGGTCGTCTTTCATGCATGGACGGGTGTAGCTGTTCGACTCATTCATTCGTGCTATCGCTCTCCTACTGGAAATGTGTGTGCAGAGTAAGGTGGAGAAGATCGTCCACGTCCCCGTCATCCACGAAGAGCAGAGAATTGTTCAGAATCCTATCGAAGTGGTTGTGGAGGTCCCGCAGCCCCAAGTCGTGGTCAAGGTGGTGGAGGTTCCAAAGATTACCGTTGAGGAGAAGATCATCAAGGTACCGAAAATCACGCACACCGTGGTGGACACTGCTGCGTGGCTGCAAGGCTTCAGTCTGCAAGGCTCAGTGAGGTTGGTCTCTTTAGCCCGAAGAATCTGTCGCACGCACATCCGAGGTTGTCCAGAATCAGCTGCAGGTAGTGGAGGTGGAGAAGCCAACGGTCGTGCACAAGACCGTCCAGCGAAAGAAGCCCGTGATCCACGAGGAGATCGTGGTCATCCCCAAGGTGCCGGGACTGCGGTCTTCGAGCCGTCCTAGTCCTGCTGCCCTATCAGGTCTCGAAGACGCCTCAGGCTACTCGGCGTGACGACTCGGCTGTGCAAAGTCTTGCAGATTCCTGCTTTCCTTCCCAGGCTGTGCCTCAGCCAATGCCTCAAATGGCACCGCCTGCGGAGCCCGAAGCCGTGGCCTTCCCTGCGGCCGTGGCAGAGCCCATGCAGAGCTTGGCTCCCGAGGCGGAGCTGTCAAACCAGCTTAAATCGCAGCAACATGCGCAAAGCTGTCAAAGCCTGAGGCAGGCTTTGCCAGAGAAGCCTCTTGCGTAGGAGCCGCCATCCGAGCCCATGGAGCCATACGAGATGGAGGCATCGGGTGGCGTAGATCTTTCAACATCTTTCCCGGGGTAAACCTGGGGTAGGCGCCGCACCTCTCAGGCCGAAAGTCACACACCATTCAAAGTCCCTTCAACCAGAAAGTGTGCTCGACCCACCCGCCACCCGCTCTCCGTGGGTTGGGGTGCCTCTAAGAAACTCATCTCTTTCGTGCCTGCCTGGAAGCTCATGCTCCTGCGTCAAGCCATCGACCCCTTCTTGCCAGGTGCCGCAGATCGAGTGGATTGACAAGGTGGTCGAGGCAGGGCGTGATTTCTCGATCGTTTTGCGGATCGTTGGCGGCGGGACATGATCCGATCTGCTTTCCCAACCGCGTTTGCAATGCCATCGCCCCACAGCTCCATTGACTGGCAGGTTCCTGTTCAGAAGATCGTAGAGGCTCGGAGTCGGGAATGGATGCACGGTTGCTGGCTTGGAGCATGTTGCTGTGCTCGGTGTTTGGATGTTTTGGATCTCTTTGCTGGCAGGGTTTTTCCTTGCTCCCTCCTTTGATATTGGTTCAGCATGCCTGGACTCGGAGGTACCTCAGCCCATGGTGGTCCAGAAAGAGGTCGAGGTGCCGGTTGTGGAGTACGTGGATCAGGCCGACAGCTTCCATACCCTGAACTATCGAAGCATGGCATAGATCCAAAGCAAGTTAACACTGGGTATCCCACCGCAGGAAGTCGAGCTTCCCCAGGCGGGGTTCCTTGGAGACTTGCTTGCATGATGGGTTCCTTCTGTGTTGGTCGCCTGCCAGGTCGCTCACAGACACGTGCCCATGGTAAATGCTGGATGCTCAAAGTGCAGGTTGAGCTACGACGAGCCAACAGAATGCATGTCGCTTGCGCGGAGGTGGTGCAGAAGACGGTAGAGGTCCCACAGGTCGAGTACGTGGACAACGTGGTCGAGGCCTGTGCAGCTTTGAGTCACCGTGTGCCGAAACGTTCTTAAATGTTTACAGGAAACAGGAGAGGATGTGGGAACGTAAGCTAGTCGGCTCGACACGCAGCAAAATCCCGGCATGTGTCCGCCATCTTCGGTTAAGGGATGTGCCTTCAGGCATCCGAATGCTACTCAGGCTGGAGATGATGATGCTGCTGATGATGATGATGATGATGTGGATGACGTCCACAACAATGCTGCCTGCTGATGATGACCATGATGACAAGAGGGTGGTGATGGTGGCGGTGAACTAAGATGCTGAGTCAGACTGACGGGCATGTTCAGACTGCGGGAACATCTGTTGGTGGTTTGGTGCTGCAGAGTGGCAAGGGAAGCTGTTGGTTGGGGTTTTGTTGCAATGCAGCGAGAAAGGCCTGGTCATGTACTGTAACCTTCTGCCAGGTGCCGGTCCAGAAGCAGGTCATGGTTCCACAGGTCACCACCATCCAAAAGCACGTGGAGGTGCCACAGGTGGAGTACGTCGACCAGGAGGTCGAGGCGAGACCTCTCATTAGGAAGTTTCCGGTAGCATTTCCACACTCTGCTTGCAAGGTGCCCGTGCAAAAGTACCGACATGTGCCTCAGGCAGGGAAGCAGAGAGCCGCAATGATTTGAAGCTGGTTGAGTGCTGGTTGCGCTTGGCAGTGACTTGGAAGTGCCCCATTTCCAGGTGCAGGTGAAGCAGCACACTGTCGAAGTCCCTCAGGTGGAGTGGATCGACGAGGTGCACGAACTGTACGCAGCAAGCGAAAATGTATGAGCTGGCTGCTCACGTAGCTGTCGAATCTGCTGCAGATAAAAGATCCACAGCAAAGATGCTGTTTTCCTCATCGATAGATTTCGACCCGGGCAGGAAGTGCAGGTTCCAATCCAGAAGCAAGTGCATGTCCCGGTTGTGAACACCAGCCAGCCTCTCGTCTTCACAGAGAGGACGTAGGAGCTGGGACTCGGACGAAAGTGAATGGTCCGTTTTGTTGTGGTTCTTGCTTTCCCGCTTCTCTTCATCTGCCATCAGGAGAGCTGTTGAGATTCCACAGATCGAGTACGTGGATCGACATGTCCACATCCCTATTCAGAAGGCCAGCAGTGACCTCAGTGATGACAGCTGATGGCACTGCGTGTTCGGGCAGAGGCTTCGTCATCATAGGACGGCCTTTGCATGACACTGTTGACGGGATTCCTAAAGAAAGGCCTTGACATGATCCTTCAAGCATGTTGGTCACTTGGTAAGGCCTCAAGAATCCCGAGATTCTCTTTCCCAGCCCCTTGCCCAGCCCCCACTAGACAGAGAGCAGAAACGCGCAACAAACCAAGGGCACGTCGGCGTGACCAGCCAGGTTGACAGGGCTGTGGAGGCACGCATGGCAAACCTGTTCATTGAGCTGTTGACAATCTCCGAACTATGGCTCCTCTGAGCAGCTGCAACTGCGGTGACAAATCTGAAGAGGTTTCCGTGATTGAGACGTTGGAAAAAGCTGGTGGCTTAGATCTCCGAGTGGACCATTACTGTTGCAAGATGTGCCCTAAGCCTTAAGCCATTCCTAGGTGGTCGACGTCCCAGTCATCAAGCAGGTGACTGTACCAACCACGCAGACCATCGAAAAAATAGTCGAGGCTCGATGGCCATGCTGCCAGCCCATAGAACTGAACTAACTGAAGCCCTAAGAGTACGGCCCGGGATTTGCTTTGCTGCGCGCACGCGAAATAGCTCTTCTGTCGTTTTTCAACTTTTGGCGCTCTTATGAGGTAGTTTTATTGTGAAGGTTTTAATTTTTTCTCATGTGTATTTTGGAATTACCTAGAATATTAATATAGCATAGCCGCAGCCATGCAGCTACATTTTTTGGGCCTCCTTGCAGAGAGATGTCACGACTCTCTTCTTTCCAACTGCGGGTGACGGTCCATGTGTCTTTGCAGGTCCCCTTCATTCAGACTGTGGAGAAAATTGTGGAGATTCCAATGGCGTGGCTCCTGAGTGCTATCATCTGCACAGACCTCCGTGCCTGTAGACTCTGGTAGTTGGTAGACCGTGGTTTTAAGTGTCTCCTGCTCCCTGCCCTACATGGCCGGGAGTCCCATTCGTTGGCGTGCCGAGGGCGGCGACACAAAGACCGGCGTTACCAGAGTGACGCAGGCGCGAAGTGCTCTGAGAGCTTGGGCGCAGAGTCCCACAGCATCTGAAGGAGAAAGCCCAATTTCAGCACTCATTCTCTGGCAGCTGTTTCCTGCAACAGGTGAACCTCGAGCCCATCCGGCAGAAGATGGATGAAAACGTCGTCCAGCAGGCAGCCATGGGCCAAAATCTTTGCCGTTGTTCTCGTGCCTTTATTTCGATGTCCGCTGGTAATGTCCCTGTCGCAAGCACGGGCAGGTTCTAGCCGGACCTCCCTTGCCAGCCGAAATGCGGTCAGCACAGGACTTCGTATTATGTTGTTCTGCAGGCAATGAAGACAAGTTGGGTTAGAGTTGCAGAAGTAAAATGTCCATCCTGGCCACTGCAGTCTGGAAGCCTGGAGAGGACTGAAAGCCATCGCCGGCAGGGGCCCTGGCCAAAGTTCGCACAGTGCGGTGCTTGCTTCTGGCTGAGAAGTTCTAAGGCCGTGTTCACGTATCACTTCATGTGCCAGTCCTTGTCAAGGCTTCTCTGCTCCTATGCTGGGAGCCACTTATTCCAGCTGAGAAGGCCTTTTCTCTCGCAGTGAGCGGGAAAAACCCTTCGCGAGACCCAGACTCTCGCATAGTCTAACCCATAAACTCGAGCTCTTGTTTAACTTGATACCACCACCATTTCCACCACCCTTAAGCCCTTTGCCCAAATGTGCTTCTGTGGCCATGGCACAACAAAGTGCTCGTGTGAGTAGCTCGAACTGCACAGGCCCTGCACTTTCATGTAAACAGCCAGTTAGTGTCTGCCCGTTGGCATGGGCATGTGCTGCTTAAAGTTTTGCTGGACGGCTGTGAGACGGACGTGGTGCGTCTCTTTTTGGATGTGTATACTGGGGCGTATTTTCCATGGCCCTCTCCGGACACCTCCGGGAAAATGACTAATGCTCTCAGGTGGTGATGGCCAGCGCATGGTTGAGCTATGGGAGCTCAGTCAGCGGCCTCACTGTGCCTCACTTCGATGCAAATGGAGAAATCCAATCGATTCTTATCCGAACTACTCGGTCCTACGTGCCCAGCCGAGTGTTCGGACTCTGGCAGCTCCAAAAACGGGCTCTGGCCAGGAGCTGCCCCTTTGTTCAGAGACATCAAGCAGCCCAGCTGTTCAAGTGCACTCGTCTGCCGTTGATGTTAGCTCGTCCCTCGAGCTTGGGCATATATGCTTTGCCTTTCTAAACCGGCACCAACAACGCGCACGCTGTGGTATCTGTGCTATTTTGCAATGGACAAAATGAAGGTGCTGCGGCTGTGCCTGCACGTTGACATGTCTGTGTCCGTGCCTGCTGCCGAAATGTCAGCAGAACGTATCTGCAGCTGTTCGTGATTTCCAGCGATTGCCATGATCAGTAAAGCCACTCCTAGTTCGTGTTGAGATTCGGTTTATCAGCTGCCAAGTGGCCTGGCCTGACTGAAACTGACGGCTTCAGATGACACAAAGTTTCCCTCACAGACAGCAGAGCACCGCAGCGATGGCGCCCCAAGACGAGCGCGCCAAGGAGCTGTTGCTCGGCCTGCTTTTCGAGTCTCGGACTGTTCCTGCGCTCGGTATACAGGTTCATTTTTTTTCATTTCCACCTTGTCTGAGGCTCCTCGAGGCAAAGCGCCTTGTCGGGCAACTGAAGGCGGGTGCGTCAACGGATGCATCCGGCCGACATGAAAGGATCGGAACGTGCCGGCGGCCCTAAGGCCTTCGAGGCCTTGGCTCCAGCGCAGGAGGCACTGGGCATCTTCCGCGAGCTCAATGCCCGGGCCACTGTCGCTTCCGCCTCATGGTCTTGCGGTCTTGGCTTGGTGACAAGGACCAGGTGAGCATCGCGCAAGCGTTGCGACGCTTGGTTGCAAGCTTTCAAGATTCTGGACAACATAGCCGTGCCAAGGAACATGCAGGGAACCCTTGTTTGCACGGCAATGCCATGGTAGACACATACAGAGGCAGTCCATGAGGGCTTTCTGGTAATCGTATGCGATGAATTACCCAGTCCTTCGTTGCCTTCCTCTTCCATCCTTTTCTTCCGGGTCTCGCAGCCCAGGTCCTGTGCTCATAGCGCAGCTAACTCGCGGCGAGTTGAAGCCAGAAGAGGCCCTTACAAAGGTGAAGGTGCGCTAGCGGTGCTGAAGTGCGTGCACGGTTTCTACACATCTTTAGAGGAAGGCTAGGGTCCAAGAGCATCGGCTAGCATCAGCTAGCTTGCCCAGGAGGAGGCCGCAAAGGTTAAACGCACTGCGCGAGACGGCCGCCGTGCCGAGGCGACATTCGATGAAGTGCTGCAGACTAGGAGGGCTTAGTTGGGGCGGTCTTATGCAGCAGTTCTCGGACATCCTGCTGGTGAGGCAGCCATGCAGGTTACACTGGCTGCGGTCCAGCTTGCGAAGGTGGATTGTGCAGACTGAGCTCAGGGGTGTAGGCAAGGCTGCCTCTCCGTCCCTCGCTCGATCTCTCTAGACTTGCTCGAATTCTGCTTTGTCGTGCTTCCATACGAACTGCGGAAGCAGGAATAACTTCACTCACAGGGTAGGTTTGCATGCCAGGCAGAGCCCGTAAAAGCTGTTGTCGCCGCCGCCGATGCAGAAGCATACTTTCAGCGGGAGGAGGCGACATTGGGGTCAGTTGTTTGTCGTGCGGGTTGGGGCGTTAGGAGCTTCCCTCCAACCACACCACTAACCGTGGAGCTTGTTGAATTTTTTGATGGAGGACTATCCCGCTCTTGCAGATGTGCTGCTGGAGGCGCGATGCGTGTTATGGTAGGCCCTGACGATAAGGCATCACGTCTGGACACGTTTTCGTCATCGGCCGGCTTCGCTCGTGTAGGATGGCTGGTGATATGAAATCGCACCGTACGTCTCAATTTACTGCGATCGCTCTTTGACAGGTCGTGGCCCCTGCACACCTGCAGCGAGGTGATGGCCAGAAGGCCTCGCGGCAAAAGCCCTAGGTCAGGCAGCAGCCAGCGGACGCTTTGCACTCACTGCAGGCCATGGACGCGGCAAACCTCGTCCTCGATGTCGCTCAGAAGGTGAAGGATCCAGAGGCCACTGCGACTCAATCTTAGACCCGCCATCTGCTTAGACCGGGTGCAGGAGTGAAGACGTGCTGCAATCGGGAGCCAATTGCTGGGACTTGTCAGGTGGAGGCGCGCGCCTGGGGCCTCGTGGCAGCCGGTCGTTTCGCAGCTTCCGCAGAGGATGCAACGGAGGCTGCGAGAGCCCTGTGGAGGGGGTTAAATCCTGGTTTACATCGGTAAGGTCAACCTGTAGAACTTGTTTGCAGTCATACCATGACCATGACCACTCCCTCGATCGATTCTGTTGGGTGGGCCGTCCTACTAGCGGTGGTAACTCAGTAGTAGTACGAGTAGTGCAAGACGTGCTGCTGCCATTCGTTTTTAGCCCTTCGTGAGCAGCACTTTCGGTGGTCATGAAAGCTCAATTCGGTGGTACCCAGTATCCATCTGCACTCTGCCTCAATCTCAGTAGCACACAAGCGCCCACGATTATTCTTTAGGGTTTCTGGCGCAACAACAGCCGGCGTCCCAGCTCATGCTACCAGGCTGCCCGCAAAGCGTTGGACCTCTTCCGGAAGCTCGGCAGCCGCGTGGGTGAAGCGCAAATGCCGTTGCCTTGAAAGGTTCGTCAGAGGCCTCGAGCCGTTTTCCCCCCGAAGCAGAGAGGCTCATCGAGCTCGCGCGCGGGCAGCTGGCGCGACAGGACCGGCTGCGAAAGGAGTGCGAGACGACCAGGCGCCCGCTGAGATCCGCAAAATTGTGCAAGGACGCCCTGGCAGCCCTGGCGTCGGCCAGAGAGGCCCCGTCTCTGGTTTCCAAGCTTTAAGCTTTGCCAGTATCAGATGTTCTGCTGATGCGGCAGCATGGTATTCCCTGCGTTGCTGTGATAACCGCCTTTCCGGGTTGTGCTGACTCTCCGCTTGGCGGTTTGATGAGAGTTGCTACGCCACCGTGAAAAATATGGCTGTCGAGGTCTTCTTGCATCTGAGAAACCGCCAGCGGCCAGCGCTTTTCTCCCGAAAAAACTGTCATCTCTGGGGTTTTGGGAGAGCGCCAAAATTCCCGCGCCCCGGCCCTGGCCAGGCCCTGAAGGTGGCCCGGGAGGCCGGGAGCTGGGCACAGGCCGGAGAGGGGAGGGGGCCCTCCTCCTTTTGTTGGGGGCTCCCTGTCTCCATCGTCCCAAGGCCGGCAAGGCGAGCGAGGCCATGGTGGAGGCGCCTCCCAACGTGGTGCACGGACATGGCCGGGAGCACTCGTGACGCCGAGGCCCAGCTTCAAGCCGGCCAGCCGCAAGCCGCGCATGAGGAGGCCAGGGCAGGTCATGTGTCATGTCATCGTCTGTTCGGTGCCGAGATCTGTTTTGCGTTTATTTTGGGAGGCCGAAGAGCAGCTCAGGCTGATCCCTCAGAGGTGACGCCTCAGGCCTATGGCCGACATTCAGACGATCTCGACATTCCGAGAGGGGCGACTTGGATTTTGGCCGGTTGCACTCTGGGCTTAGCTCCGATGAGATGAGGTGGATCAGCGAAGTGACACCCGACTACAGCAGCAAGAAGGCTAATTGATGACACGACATGCCAGTGAGAGTCTCCATGTTCACACCTGGCAGGGTTTAGCATCTGCGATGTCTGCGGTGGTCGTGGCGACGGCAGTCTTCAAAGGCAAACTTTGCGTGCTTGCTTCGACTTCGTCGGGGTTTGGTCTAGTCTAGTCTAGTGGCTAGTTGGTCAATATTCTGTGGATCTCCCATGTCTCCCTGCATCGCTGCAGAGCTTGATCTACTTGTACTGCCAGTTATTCTTCAGTCAAGTCAAGTTTTCCGTTCCAAGTAGTTACAGCTGCTCTTCCGAAACCTGAAAGCAGAGTTTGTGGAGGTGGAGATGCAGGTCTGGAAGTTGTCAAGAGCTATGCTGGCCACCTGGAACGACATCATCGCATGTTCCGCATTCTTCACGGAGACTGCGCACCGCCAGTGCTTTTGCGTCAAATTCACAGTTTTTTTTCGATCATCGTTTTGATGTCGAACTCCACATCACTCCACTGTGGCTCAAGCTGGAACCCCATCGCCCGGCTGTGATGAAGAGTCCGGGTTTTGACTCATGACCGGCTATGTTATACAGCTGGATGGGCGACGAGGCCAACAGATGACCGCTTTGCGATTGCATCAAAGCGGTAGCCCTTGCAGTTGCGTCAGCTTCGGAGCCCGTTTCTGTTTGTCCCGTCCTCACACCAGCAGGTGCTGAAGCACTCAGGGCCAGACGCAGGAGAATTTTCCGCCACGGCAAGGCAGGTCAGACTTGGGTGCTTCCGGTTTGCATTGTCTTCCGTTTCAACAAAGGTTTCCGGTGCGGCCTTAGAAGGCACCCCTTCCCTCTTGATATTTCCGGTGCGGCCTTAGAAGAAACCCCTGCCACCTTGATATTTGTGCATGCGCTCCATCCCTTCAACCTCCGCCCTGGCAGGCATTATGTCTTGCGGCGCTCGCAGTCGCTTCTGCGACGGCTTTTGTGCATGGGAGCTCCATGCCGAGAAGACTTGTGCAGGCCTGGAAATCCACCCTACACTGACTCTACACATGTAGGATAGTCTACGATGATGAAAGATGGCGCAATGCAGCACTGCACAACCCGAAAAGACTGTCCGTGAGACCTTCAACCCTAAGCCCTAAGCCGAAAGGCCTTGTAGTAATACGGCAAGTGATGGGAGGCACCCGAGCGACGACTTCTTGGGCAGCTCGCCTTGGAAGCTTATAGCGACCTGAAGGCGCGAGGGGACCAAAAGTCGGAACTCCAGATCCGTGTGGAGGGATTTGCCGAAGGCCCTTAGTGATAAGGCCACGAGGTGGGCTTCGGCTTCGTCTGACTGATGGTTTCTTGTGATTCCCTGCCAATCTTAAAAGCCATGCGTGCTCTGTATCCTCCGTCTCGCGGCAGGTGAAAGAGCTGAAAGAGCTGCTCTCCGAACGTGGGCTGAAAGTCAGCGGCAAAAAGGTTCGCGCAGAGGGGAGAAGTGCCCTGTAGCCTTTGCTAATTTCGTGACTTCGTGGGGCCGGGCCGTTTCGCAGGGCTTTGTGGGAGGTATTGTCATTGTGGCTGACTACAGGACGCACGTCCGCCACCTCAGCGTAGAAGTCGCTCACGATCCCAAGCCACAGGCAGAGCTGGTCGCCCGACTCGAGGAGCACGAGGCGCAGGACGTTCTGCTGCACGTTGCTCCAGTGCTTTTCGGTGACTCTGTGGATATCGTTCCCAGTTTCCTGTGCGGGCTTGTCCATTGTTGGACATGACCGTTCTATTGCAATCAAGTCCAACCTTGCTGTCGTCGTGTCGGGCGTGCTTGTGGTTCTACGAGTGAGGCCCGGAACGAAGCTTCAGAGCCCTTGTTATTATGCTGGTAATTGCTGGTATTGGTCGTTGCAGGCGTACCTTCAGGAAGCGGTTGGATGTATATAACTTTTGCCTCGCGTGCCTACAAAGGAGTCTCCGGACGAGGCGGAGAGTAGCGCACCTGTTCCGGGCGGCATTGGCAAGCAGTTTCCGTTTTTTGTCGCTACATCTCAGCTCACTTGGTCAACCACTTACCTTTTGGCCTCGTAGGATTCCCGATTCAAGTTCATAGAGTGGGTCAGAAACGGGCAAAGCCAAGATGCCCCAGAAGACGCAGGAAACAAAGAGCTTTAGGTTGCGGCCTCGCCCTTCGAAAGGTGTAGTCTCTCTCTGTTGAGACCGAGGCTGCAGAGGCGGAAGCAGAGAAGAAGGAGACGAGGAAGGCGACCGGCGGACATTCCTTGTTGGTTGGTGTGACTCTGCAGGCATGTCAATGTTTCAAAAAGGGTTTCCCTTTTGCCGCGGGCCAGGAGAAGCCCCAAAGTGGAAGCTCGGATCCTGAAGGCTACAAGGCGACATTCGCAGGAGCACGAGTTGAGCTTTTGACAGCGACGAGATGTCATGCATTCTTGCTCACATCTTGAGCGCCTCGCGTTTTAAACGTGTTCTACACGCTGACGTCGACCGTTTGTTCCACGTCTGGCACCAGTGTGCAAAGCGGCGAATGACGAAGCCAGTCAGAGCGGACAGCATGCAAGCGAGCAGCGAGCCTTCTGCTTGGAAGCTCCTTGCTGGCGATCCCTTGTTGAAAGGTATGCAGTAGCTTTGATTTATGCGAGGCTGGACAACTGGCTTTGGCTCTCTTCCACGACGATGGAAAATACTACACTGCCGCTCGGATGCCGCCGGAGCGTTGCCCAAGCTTCGCACCTTTCTATTGCTGCATATTGCTGCAAAGCAGACGCTTGTTCTGTCGTCGAATCTCTCGGGACGGCAGTGGATAGTCCTCAGTCATGCACGTACCACAAGCCATCCAAAGTCCACGTCACCACGGGCAGCACACACGAAGCCCGAGCAGCACAGAGACTCTTCTTTCATTTCGTCCAGCTCGTCGCAAAGGCCAAACGGCTGCGTGTCGACATCACAACACACCTGAAACCCTAGTTTGTGATCGGCTCCATGGACATTGCATCCTCTGAGCCAGAACAGCCCAGAGCAAAAAAGGTGAACAACGGAGCTCTTATGTGTTAGCAGGTGGCGCTCGGCTGTCTACAAAGACGTTGCGCCCGCCCGGAAAGGGGACAATGAATGCACTGACTGCAACTGCCCGAAAGCCAGGTTAACTCCTCTGAGAGAGAGGAGTAGCCAGAAAGTTTGGGTCCATTTCTCTATCTGTCTGAATCTCTCTCTCGCTCTTTCTGTGGGTGCATCGTGCACATCGCATTCAGGCTTGATTTGTCAAGGTTCGAATTGTCAAAGACAATGGCGATGAAACCTTCGACATCGAGTGGGTTGAGGATGATGCTGAAGACACTGTAGACTTGGCGAACCTCAGGCCGGCAGAAACTCAAAGCGCTTTTTCCCTGGTTCAAATCCTCACACGGTGCACAGCACGGACACGGACATGCCCAGTGCAGCTCAGCCTTTCTCGAGCGACGAGAGCCAGTGGAGTCTTTGTTTGCATGGCAATTGCAGCGTGAGAGCATGTTCCTGATGTGTTCAGCATGGAGGCCAAATCCCAAGAACTTCAAGAAGGGAGACCTCGTCGTTGCAAAATGCAATGAAGATGGGAGGCGCTATACTGCCATCGTTCAAGAGAACAGCGGAAAGGGCAGTGTGACTGTGCAATATGTGGAAGACGAGACGGAGGAGGATGTACTGCTGGACAACATGTGGTCCCAGAAGAAGAAGTTCAAGAAGGGTCAGAAAGTTGAGGCAAAGTTCCCCGACGACGGCGAATGGTATGCCGCGACTGTCAAAGAAGCGGTGAGCAGCGGCAAGTACCTGGTGGAGTGTCTCCCTCAGCAGGGTGGGCAAAGAAGTGTTTGCCGTAACGGGAACAGGATGTCCGTAACGGGAACCCGTAACAGGAACGGGGACCGATCCCGCAACAGCAAACACCAGTTCCTGTAGCACCCCCCAGGCCGCCCCTCGTAACAGGAACCAGTGCGGGGCTCCAAGAATGACTCGTTTCACATCCACCTGCTCTCATGGGCTCGCCAGCTCAGGGACCCCTTTCCGGTCCCCTACTTGGTGTCTGCTGCGAGTGAAACTGCAATTGCGTGACTTGTGTGCACGATCGTATGACGGAGGCTCCTGTGTGGAGTCTCGTCATGTCTTTCTTCGTCCTACTTCTGGTGCTAAGAGCTGACTGAAACCCCAAGCCCCCAAAACCGTTCTCGAGCCTTTAAAGCCGTTCTCGACAGGCAAATGCCTGAACCCTTGAACACGTCAACCCTAAACCCTTAAAGCACTAAACTTTCTAAACCTTCCAAATACCTCTACAGCCGCAGAGTCCTAAAACCCGCAAGCCTGAACCCTCAACCCAGAAACCAAGGCAAGTTGGCGTGGTCAGTCCACGATGGCGTGCAAAAGCCTAGCCCCGCCATCAGTAGTAAAGTAGTAGTAGTAGTAGTAGTAGTAGTAGTCGTAGCAGTCGTAATATGACTACTTCGACTGGCATTAGTACGGACCTTTTCGTAAGACAAACATTATCATTCCTTCGACAAAGCAATAATTGTGAAGAAACAACTTGTGGCTTCAGAGACAAGGAGGGTATTGCCAGTGGCATCCTATATCCCAAACCGTGAGTCTGTTTCAACCCAAACTCTGTATGCCTCGAAGGAAACATAGGCATCAGCATAAGACGTTCCATGGCGTCAAAGTAGGGGACCGAAAACCGGTTTCCCACACAAGAGTTCCAGCATAGTTTCGGTTGCTTGGCTTTCCTGGGACAGTTCCTGTTACGCTCCCGGGGCGGTTCCTGTTTCTACTCGCCCTCGTTCCCATTAGGCCAGGAAGTTATGCGAGTTCCAGGTGGGAAGATCCGGATGGAGGGGATCCAGAAAGCGAACTTGTGCTGGATAGCATCCAGATACCTAGGCTGGACTTCTTGCTATGAAGCTGCTGACGTAAGCCACACGTTTAATGATTCTTGATGATAGTTTCTGCCCTTTGCCTTGCAAGGGTTGGCATTGACCAGCTGGAAGTGGGCCAGAAGCTGCATGCAACCGTCAAACGAGTATTGGATTTCGGGGCCTTCGTTGATGTTGGCCGTGGCCTTACTCATACTTACTCCTGTTTTTGTACCGGCCGAAGTGTTTTTCATGGGAGCTCAGGTTGCTACACCGACGGCCTTGTACACATAAGCAAAATGGCGCCAGGGCGCGTCGACAATGCTCACGACTACGCGGAGGAAGATCAAGAAATGGATGTTTGGGTGGGGCGCTCACGGAGACGCCAGTTCTATGTCTGGTACTGATGTCACGTTAGGTGACGAACATCGACCCAGAAGGAAACAAGCTCGGCCTTACGATGGTCGCAACGTGTTCGAACTTGGTCGAGCTTGATTTCAACTTCAGGGCAGAACGCTTCGAGTGTTGGCAAGTTATGTATGGTCCATCAGTGGACAGCTTCGATTCAGGGTTTGAGGTGTCGGGCAGTTCTGTTCAGGAAAGGCTGGAGTCGCTTTGTTTTGTTGTGTAGTGTGACAATCGGGAAATCCCAGGAAGGCAAAACGGGAGGAGGAGGCCGTGCCCGGAAGGAGGCTGGTGGAACGTTGAGATTCGAGGCCATGCCAGGCCCAACCCCAAGCCGTGCCACGACACCAGGTGATCAATCCCATCGACAGCATGAATGCCCCGCTCTCAGAAAGTCGGCTGTCGCAAGGATTTTTAGATCTTCACATCAATCGCCGAGGTCGGTGATGAGTTCGAGGGCACTGTGGAGAGCATCAGGCTTCGTCCCGCTCTCTCTTTTTTTCCGACCCCGGGTCGCGTTACCGTCTCGAGCAGGAAGCTACTGGTACAGTAGCATCAGTTGGAACTGTTGATCCTGAATGCTGTCATTGGGCAAGCGTATCACGCGTGCATCTGAGAGGGAATTTGGGGCCTTCGTGGACATCGGGGCGGAGAGATCCGGGCTTGTTCACATCTCGCGCCTCGCTGATGGTTTTGTGGCAGCCCCGGTCCTGCTTGCATTGTGACAACGATGAATAAAGTTCCTTTGTTGTTTTCCGATCTATTGCAATCAGCGGAGGAGGCATTAGGGATAGATCGTACTGGGAAAGCAGTTGATCGCCAGACCAGGTTGAAAACCCGCATGACCACGTGTCCGAAGGGCAGAAGGCGAGGACGACGGAACATGTCGTGCCGGTCTCCGTCTTTAGTGGTGTAGTGTAGAACCCCTGATGTGGATCGAGAAGGGCAGTCGAGTGGCCAGAGTGGAGTGTTTGCCTGAACAGGTCACGGTGTGGGTGTCGTCCATTGATGGCGACAGGATTGGACTGTCCATGAGAAGGACTGACGCCTGCTTCAGGGCCAGCGATGCACCCGACAACGATAGTTTTTGTGTGCGTTTAATCTTCAAAGTTCGCAGTGGGTGTAGCCCCTTGTCAGTACATGCACCAAGGTGCCGCGTTCTGAGAGCAATTGTGTCAGCAAATCAATGAGTCAAGGAAAATACATATCATATTTGCGTTATCTGCATCCACATCTATGTCTGTATCTGCATCCATATCCGCTACATCTCTGTCTCTGTTTGTATCTGCACCTGTATTTATATATATATATGTATATATATATATATATATATATATCTACTCTACAGCTCTGTAAATCTATATATCTGTGTCTTTGAAATTATATGTCTGTATGTCCGTGTATACAGATCTGTAAATATATGGAAATATATGGAAATCTGTATATCTATATGTCTAGAATCTGTATACTTATTTATCTCAAGATCTCTATATGCATATACCTATATGCATCTATGTCTCTGCTCTATAGCTATGTCTGGCTAAGTATGTTTTTGTTCATATACATAATATATATATACACCACTATATCTATATATCTCAACATCTACATCTCTATATCTCCATACCAGTATATATATATATATGTCTATATCTCTATATCTCAGTATCTCTATGTCTCTATAACTCTGTAACTATATCTGTATCTATATCCTAGGTCTATGTATACATCTATATTCATATCCATATCTATAGCTCTGCCTCTATCTCTCTCTGTGTCCTATGTCCATGTCTATATCTATATTTATACCTGTATCTATATCCGTTATCTATGTCTATGTCTATATCTATATCGCATCTACATCTACATCTGCATCTCTATCTGTATCTGTATCCATATGTATCTATATTCGAACAGAGAGGGGGAGGCATGCATACATACATCACGTATGTATGTATGCATGCAAAAGTTCATGTGTACATAGTTTATATACCGACAGATATGTGTATGCATATATATATATATATGCCACGACATACACACCGTAAGCGCTGCCCAAGCAGAAACCCACCTTACGCGCCCCTTTCTGTCTGCCCTCAACATTGCCTCTTGTGTCCTTGAGGAGCTAGACCGTCCAGGTCGTGCTGCAGTCTCGCCAAAAAGGAGAGCGCTCTGCATCCTGATGCTTGGGGATGAAGAGTCGTGTCAGTTGCGAGCATTCTTGACATACCGGCACGAATGCATTGAATATCCAACTTAGATGAATGTGTCAGTATCCTTCGTTTTCTTGGTGCAAAGTCCACCTTGAACATCCGGGTCTACCACCCCGCAATCAGGGTATGGGGAAACCTCTAGGCTTTAGATGTTCCCACGCCTGCAGTTTGGGCTCCCTCCGTGCATTCATCAGAGCATAGAGACGTGAAAGGTCGAGAAGCTCCGGGCAGATGGCAACAAGAGCGGCGAGGCCTCGTCAGCTTCACATGCGGGGCTGTACCGGAGCTGTGCTCCTGTGTGCCCGACTTCTGCCCATGAGCAGGTTCTCATGCTGCACAAGCTGGCTACCATGTTCCTTGGCTTCCGGAAGAAGGCTGCTGGCCGGCAGGGTGCTGCAAGGCATGGGTTGTTTGTACCGAGGTCCCCTTTCCCCGACTACGCGCTCAACACCGCGCAGGCATTTGCTGCGTGCGTCTCCGTGGCTTTCCAGTTTCGATTTCAGCTGGCATCGCCTTGAAAAGAGGACCTCAGAAATCAGAACTGCAGAGACCATCAGAGCTATCTGTCTGTGTACACCTGGCTGTGACGTAGTCTCCGAAACCTTTGACTACGAGGGTGATGTGCTTCGCATACATAAGCTTTGAGGAGGGATCCCTCCGTGCTTCGCCCGTTCAGGCTGCCCTGGAGCTAGCGCGCAAGGAGGGCCTTGCCTTGGAGGAGAAGGCGTGGGGTCAGCATGGTGTAATTTGATACTCGTGTCCGGGTTGTTTTGCTGGCTGGAGTCTTCCAGGTGTGGCAAGATTTGCTGAGATAGTTTTGAAATTTGGCATTCTCGTATGTTTGGTGGTGGGTCAGCTGCCTGTGGCGACTCCACGTGCCCTTGCGAGCCGGCGGTGTGCGCACACCCAGACTCTGAAGGCTCTGAAGCGGACGCTGACGCAGCTTTATGCGGCCAAGGGAAAGATCGACAAGGCTCGCCGACTCTGTTTCTCTTTGGCTGAACCACGTCTGCCCTAAGGCACCCAATCGGCGAGAAGCATTGTATCTTGGCGACATTAGTACGAGAAGGGCTGTGTACAGCCTTGATTCTGCTTGCCTTTCGTCTGTCTGAGTTTCTGTCTTCCAGGAGTTCGGGGAAGAGGGCTAGATACTGTTCATTTTTGTGAGCAAACAGGGCATGTTCGGGCGGAGACCTTGATGACCGCTGCAGCTGCAGCATCAAGAAGCAGATCGCAATGGCGATTTGCTCTGTAAGGCTTCTCCTGCAAGACCTTGCACGCGAGCTGGAGAGGAAGGCAGGTCAACATCATGAACGCCTGCTTTTTGGATGTGGCAGGGTGAGATTCACAATACGGTGAAGGATGGTGAGAAGTTCGACGATGCGAACAAGAATCTGGAGGATTTCTGGATGGCACTGAAGCAGAGTGATGTTGATGCACGGGTCTTGGCTTGAACTTTTCACCGGCACTCACCTGGACATGGTATATGCTGAGAGTCTCCGTTAGGGCTGCTAAGCCGTCAGAGGAGCTCCCAAGAAACAACCATCGAAGCTGTTGACTGCAGATCCGGAGCACTGCAGATCCGGAGCTTGAGGCAGCTATGCAGAAAGTGATCTCTCGGGATCCAGCCACCTACCTCCAGTTTCTCAAAGAGCACGGCCGCAGCCTCGACACGTCGGGCACCAGGAACCTCTGAAATTGAGCTCCTGGTGTCCAGGGGCCAATGTGGCAGTTCCTGGTGAGAAAGCCAAGCCTCCTCCCGGCGCTGATGTCCAGGCAAGTCCGAGTCAATGTGGAAATGTTTGGATGCCTTGAGTCGATGCTTTCAGTGCAGGGCTTGGGCTTGAAAAACAAGCTATTGCCCAGAGCTCAGTATCCACCTTGCAGTATTGTGCTCCGCTGCTTCTGTCCATTTTCGTTTTTTTTCTCAGGACCGGTCCAAAGCCTTACCTCTACCTCAGCTTCAGGGCCCAGAACTCGGAAAGCCAGCAGCACGAGGGTCGGCTCCTTCACGGGGGCTGCAGGTGGGCGGCATCAGCTACGGCCCACGGCCTCAACCTCGGTGATGTTCGGCGATGGCGATTCTCCGGAATGCTCCGCTGCTTTGGAGGTACCGCTGCTGCGATTTGCCCATGGGCGTCGGAGGCGAGCCGGGCTCGGCCATCGGCGTCCTGGAACTCCAGGAGCTCGCGCTCGGGAGCCGTCTGAGCGGAGCGCTCTGAGCTTCCACGCTGGAGCTCCATAGAGTGGGAAGGGTCCGTGCGAAGGACGTCTCCGACGACTGGGAGCGCGAGTTGCAGTACAATCCCTCCATCCTGGACACCCGAGTAGTGCTTGCTGCCGTTCCAGCATGCTGCTTACAGGAATACACAGTCCAGTTGTGCTTGACCTTGTGTGCAGCCGGGCCTTGCAGGACTGTGCTCTTCAGAATGGCGCCGCAGGAATCTTCGTGGAAAACCGCCCTTGACACCGAAGTACACCTTCATTGCTCATCGCTGTTCTCTTTGCAGTGGCAGACTCTTCCTCAGTCGATGACCGCCATGCACTGACCCTCTAGTGCACTTCAAACTTTGCAGTGTTTCGGGGCCTGAAGTCCCAGAGGGTCGACAAGTTTGGCGGCGACCGCGACCGCTCTTCACCCAGATGAGAAAATGCCATGCCTCCAGCTGTTGAAGATTTGCCGTGCACTTGGGATCAATGGCAGCACCCGACTAAGCATGTCTGTTGGGACAGCTCTGGCTGCCGACCTTGGCTCTGCTCGACAACAAAGCCCCGGGGCGACAAGACTTTCAAAGCTGCACCACACAGTGACAGTCGCACGACGCTTGCAGAAACCGCCTAGCCCGTAGTCGGGTGTACTCAACACACTCAGCAACTGCGACATTGCTACAACACAGCCCCGGAGTCCCACAATATCTCACAGTCACCTCAAGCCCGAACCTCACTTCACTGATCTTAACGACTTAGCCTTCGTCTCTGTGCGCCGTGCAGCACGTGTCATGGACTGCTGCCTCCATCCCGCAGTAGCCTGATGCTGCTTTGCAGGTCGGCGTCAGGGATACAACTAGTTCTCCATCTTAATATGCCGAACTTTGAGAGCCGCAAGATGTCTTGTTTCTCAGTTGTGTTGACACCCCGAAGCACGAAGAAACCGATGCATTGGACAACGGTGGTAGACACAGTTTTCGCCTCCGGTGTTGCAGGGCCGATGGGCAATCGAGTGATGTGCGGCGGCGCCCCGCAGTGGCGCCAGCTCACCTTAATCATGCCTTCATTGCAGGACGCTTCCCTTGCCTCCCAGATTTGTCATGCTTAGAGTCGATGGAAAGGTACGGCTGAGCCAATGCAAGATCCAATCCAAGCTGTGCCTTAGTCGTGTCTGAGCCAGGTCGTGCGTGGACGAGTGTGCGCGACTGCACTTCGAGACCAGGCCGGGTAAAAGCTGGGGTATCGAGGTTTGCTGAGCTCTCGCTCGGAAGCCCTCAGGAGCCGCGAGGCCGATGAGCCGGAGCCGGGGGCTCAACGAAAGGCTGGGCTCGTGGACGCCGCAGCTTCTGGCGCAAGCTTGATGCGCGCACACGAACCCGAGCCTAAACAGCCTGGGAACATGGCATGTGCACGCGTCTCTCTGCTTGCAGAAGACGGTTCCACAGCATCACTGGGTTCCGACTTCCGACACCGTTCATTCTGCGGCTAACAAACGCTGAAAAGAAGGGCAGCTGTCTTCGAGTCTACCTACGAATCTGAGCTCATAGCTACAATGTTGGCAATGCCAAGGTGTGATCCGGCAGGTGCTGTCTTCCAAGAAACCCTGCTTGGGCTTCCACCTCGGGACCAGGAGGCCATATGCCTCGAGAAGCTTGCACGACTGCAGGGCTGTTTAACCCAAGAGGCTTGCCCTGCTGCCTCTTGCGAAGGGGTTGATCTTTGCTGGCACTTCCAATCTGGTCGCCCTCCGCTGGCTGATGCTGTTGGGTGCCAACGCCAAGGAGGGGCAGCGGGTGACCTCGTCTCATGCTTTCCACACGCTTTCTGCCTCATGCCACAGGCGCGCGATCGAAATGGAACCACTTTGCTACACGCGGCCTGCCGAAGCGGAAGCTTTCTGGTGGCGCAGGCCATCGGGGCTCGGGGCTTTGAATGCCTGGCAAGACCTTGTACCCTTGGTGCCATGAAGTGTGCCGGGCGTGAAGAGACAGGGCATCACAGGGCTGGTTTCTCCAAGTGATAGGCGGATGCATGGTGTAAAACTTGCCGGAGCCATCCTGCGGTTGCAACCTAGACAGCTTTAGCCATCGAGTGATTGTGACGATGATGAGGATGACTGATGATGACTGTATCTTCCTCTCCTTCTTATGAGCTTCATTGAGCTTCGGGTTTTCATCAACGGCCGGAGGAGCTGCTCCGACGGGAGCTGCCGCTGGATGCAACCGATTCAGCAGGTTGGACGCTGGATCCCTAAATTTACCCACTCAGAGAGACAGTCTGCGACATCAGCTCGAGCCTCTCTTGAGAGCAGCCTTCGTAAGCTAAATGCAAGAAGCAAGCACATGCGCACAACAACTTCACGGTAAGCGGGACCACGTCGAAATTCTCGGGTGTGGTCCGCCGTCTTGCTTGCCAGGATGCCTTCTTTTGAGGCAGAATTTTTCTGTGTTCAGAGCCTCGCTTCCGAGACTCTGCAACAAGTTGAGTAGCAAGGCCTCTCCACGTGGCAGCGATGATGGGGCGCCCAAGGCTCAGCACGAAGCCATCCAATGCTTCAAACCCCATTTAGGCCGGTATCCGTCCGTGTCAGATTCAGAGTTGTGCCGTCGGTGCGTCGTCCTGCGCTATGGCTTTAGCGGCTACAACCGACAATGATAATGTAATGGCACACAGCAGTGGCGGTGCGGTCCGAGGCCGTGAGCTGACACAGCTGCTCCTTCAGGCAGATGAGCCACATTCAAGCGGGTCCGCGTGTACGCATCTGCAGTGGAGTGCATGTATTTTTGACTTTGCACACGACACACCATATGCTGTTCATGCGTGACATATCGTCATGTCTGCATCTTGTCTGTGCTATCGAATTACCATCTCACATCACCCAAATTGCGTTAATAATATTTAATAAATGTGATATGAGATGGCAGTGTACATATCAACATATAACCATATGTCAACACACACACACACACGCACGTATTATTATATATATATACATCTATATATATCTATATATATATATAAATACATATATGCACATCTATATATATATATACACATATTTTATACACATATTGTGTCATGGGGCATGTGATATAATTTGCATTTCGTACAGTAAGCAGAAGTTTGAAATGGACGTTAATGTCATTTGTCGACCAGCTTGGGTCTGTTTACTACAGTGTTGATTTCATATGGCTCTAATGTCATGTTTCTGAATCATGCGAAGTTTAAACAAATTTACAGTCTATGTATCGTACATGCCATGCGAGGCTCGCATACATACACATACACCATGCATACATGCACACGCACGCGTATGTACAGAGCGTGAGCATCGTGGAGTGCAAATATACATGTGCAAAGATGTATGTATGTATGTATGTATGTATGTATGTATGTATATATGTATGTATGCATGCATGCATACATGTATGTATGTGTATGTATGTATGTATGTATGTATGTGTGTCTGTTTGTATGTATGTATTAATGTGTGTCGTGTCTGTCATGAATGTAATATAATGTAATGTAATGTAAGGCAATGTGATGCAATGCAATGCAATGCAATGCAATGAAATGCAATGCAATGTAATGTAATGTAATGTAATGTAATGTATGTACGCATGTACGTATCGTGTGACGTTGTCGCGACCGCACAGCCTCTCACCAGGCCCAGATCAATCCGCACGTTCAGAACAAGCGTGGGGCCACACCCCTGGACTTGTGCAGCGACGTCTCCACACGCGAGGCGGCTCTTTGCTCTGTTCGTGTGCTGCACCCCTCGTGACCGTCTCCATGCCGTCTCGTGGGCCAGGCCCTTCGCACCTTTGCGTTGAAGACGCCCGAGGTGACATCACGGATCAATTCCGTTGAGGACAGGCGAATCACGGCGACTCACTAACTCACTAAACTGCACTCTGATGACGGGAGGTACCCGTTTATTCTTGAGGCAAGAGTTACGAAGTGCTCAGTATGCTGTCGCCAGCATGCGGCGGCAAATAGAGTCGAGTGTGGCGACTCTCGGTGTCGGGTGTAAGCCGCTTGGAAGATCTCAGATCCGCTGTGGGTCTAGAGATCAGGTACATGGAAAAACCTAAAGCAGTTCCGCCAACGACGGTACGCTGCATCACAACAGCCCGACGTGCACAAGCCACTGCAGACACATTTGTGCTCGGACATGTGGCAGTTGCCCAGGAGTTCCAGAGGCTCGCTCGCGTGCAAGGCAGGTTTGTTGGAATGTCATGCAGAGACCCGTAAAGGTCATAAATCAAGAAGCCACATAAGCCAACGGAGCTCAGGTGAGGTGGGCGAAGACCCCACGGCCACCTGCGAGCCCTTCTTCGTCCCAAGGCAGCCCGTCTTCGAAGATGAGGCTTACGGGGCGGCTCACGGCTCGCACGGCTCCTGGAGGAGGAGGCACTTTCCGTTTGGTCAGGCGCACTACAAGGTGCTGGTCAACATCGGCTTGGAGATGCTGGGCGCCTCAAGTCCTGCGCATTCGAGGGGAGTGGACGCGGAGCCGTGCTGCAGGGCCCACAAGAGCGCCGCTCACGCGCTAGCTTTCTTTGTGGCCACAGGCACGTCTCTGTTTTAAGTCTGACGTGAGAAGAGACCTCGCCTCCAAGGCGTTCTGGTCTCGATTCATTCATTTGGCTTGTGCTTTCTATGACCGCCGTTGCATTTGCGGGCAGCCGAAAATGGGTCATCATGGGCCCCTTTTTACCAGTCATGATTGTACATCACCGTCAGGTCGGATGTTAGAAAAGTGTTTAGGCAGAGCGTGCGTTCGAGCCATGGAGCGGACGGATCTGTGGCCGCGCGGAAGCTCGCCTGAGTCAGAGCGTCGGTTCCACCGGGGTCCAAGCTTTCGGCTCGCCTCGGTTTGATGAACTAATAGGAGGGCATCCTAGCAGTCCGCGCAGTGTCGCATAGCATCACGTGCTCAGATGCTACCGGCCGATCGGATGAGCGCCAGCGTGAATCCGGCTCCGGGAACCAGGCAGTGGGCGTGTTGTGGGGTTGTGCGAAGCGTTTTGGGCGTAGCCTCGCCTTGAAGGCTCTTTACTTTCGGCTGCGGCACACTTGGTGAACTCGGATATGTCAAGGCCTCGGCGATCTCAGAGCCGCAGGGCCTTCGACATTGGACTCGGGCATGGTTTCGGGGCTGGGACTGATGCTGGTTGAAAGACACTTTCAGTCTCGTTCTTCTGCGTCTAACATTTTTGGACTGTCGAGTATCCCAGGATCGCGCCGATGATCTTTCTTGCCGACCAGAGGTGCGTGAGCTTGAACGAAGGACTTGTAGCCTTGTGTAAGTACGATGTTCCAGCCAGCACACTGGCCAGGCACTTCCTGTTAGCTTCCTCGAGGCTTGCGGGGAGGAGGCAAAGCCTTGAAAGATCCGTGAAACTTCCATCAAGAAATCTCCGGGAAGGCAGAGGTGTCCTCTGTCGCACTTGGGAACGACCACTCCCTGGCACTCGTGAAAGGCAAGGTCTACCGGTGAGAGCCTTGGCGAGGACAGATGAGTGCTTCGCAGCGTGCCACCGCAGCACTGTTGAGGTGGGGATTGCAGTGCACATCGACGAGGCCTGCGCAGCAACGGGGGGGGGCCGTGTGAGTACTTGATGCCCGAATGGCCCGACATGTGCTGGACGCAGGTTCAAGGCAGCCGATCGTTCTCTTCAAGGCCATGCAATGCTCTGCTCCCGAAGCGATGGAGAGCCTGGCATGTGGCCCAGGATCGCGGTCGGAAACATCCGAGGCTGAATAGGTCGGTCTGCAGTGTAGGCAGGGTCTTTCGAGAGTGACGTGCAGGGTGAAGTCGACACGGCCTCGGGAGCTATCAATCCGATTCCCACAGCCCTGGAGTGTCATGGCCCCGGAGTCCTGGGGTCCTGGAGCGCTGGCTCTGGTGAGCGCTTGACTGCACTGGATCGTGCTTCACTTGGCTGCTCTGCTTGCCGCCATCGCCAGGGTCTCTCGGGTTAGCGGTGGTTAGCGTGGGGCCCTCTTCTGTTCGCAATGTCGCCATCCCCGGTGGTTCGAGCTCGTCGCCACAAGGCGAGATCGGGTGTGGAGCCTGTTCGGCCTGGCGCCCATCAACCCGCAGACGCATCGGTGGAAGCATCTTTGCGTATCGTCGGCCTTGGGGGCCTTGTCTGCACGGTGTCTGTGAACCTGGCGGCGACTGTGGCAGAGGCCCAGAAACTCATCGCCAAGACGGCGGGAGTTCCAGTACGTGAACAGCATCTCATCAGTCGCGACCGTCGGCTGTCCGCCAACGAGGTCTTGGGTGACGCACTGGGGAAGGACAATGAGGTGACACTTCTCCGGTGTGATGCAAAGGCAATGGCAATCAAGTCAGCGATGCGCACAGGATCCCTAGCACTAGAACGTGCGAGACGCTTGACGATGCAGTGTGTTAGCGATGCGTGAAAACGGAGAACGGCCTGGGACAAGCAGGTTTTGAGGACCTCGCAACCTCTTCGCCTCGGGCCCGAAGAACCAGAAGAACTGCATATTATGAAAAAGTACCAACTGAATTCAGATTTCCCTACAGCACTTCGGCACGCAGGGAAACTTACCTTGTGTGCCAGACAGTGCCACGCATAGCCTTGCACAATTCGAGATCATAGCTCACGCCATGCCAGGATGTGGAGTGAGGAGCGCTTGCCGCCCCAGACCTCATTCCATTGGCTTTGGCTGTTGCCACAATGTAGATGAGATAACAGACTTAGGGACAGGCATCGAAGGCTGTGTTGGGCTGTGCTCTCTGTCTCTCTCACAATTTCGCATGTAAGACGTGGCAAGGGCACAGCACATGGACGTAAGACGTAAGTGCTAGTCGCTGCCAGTCGTCGACGCCTGCCCCTTCTTTTGAAGCAGCAAGCAGGCTTGTTCTTCACCCGGCTTCTGTCGGGTACCATTGATCGCCGTGCTGCAAGCGATCAATGAAAGTTTTGCCGAAGTCGGTCATGATCCCGCCCAAGTCTTGCTGAGTGGTTTCATGTCAGCGGCGTGGAAAGGCATAAATCGGTCTGACGCTCCTGAATCAATTCCAGTCGCTCATAATTCACCAGTTAGGTGTACTCAAAGACTTCGCACAGCCATACTTGAGACCCAGGGAAGTTGTGGCAGCGCATAAATCGTCCCAGTCCGTGGCATTTCCGGGCGCGCCAACTTGTGTGCTCCCTTTCACAATTCGAGGTGATAGCTCGTCGCCAGGTCAAAATGTGAAGTCGGGAGCGATAGAGTCCCAGACCTCAGTCTTTTGGCTGTTGGCGCCCAAGATGACAGATAACAGACTTGGGACAGTGCGAATTGTATAGCAAATCACAACAAGATACTTAGCTTCTTCGCTCAGCTTGGCTAAGGCTCATGAGGGTATGTCTTCGTCGCATGTCCATTTGAAGCAGCAAGCAGGCTTCGCCTGCTGTACCCGGCTTTTGTCCGGCTCTCTTGATTGCTGCACCTCAGCTGTGAATCGCTCAGCTGCCGACTTTTCTCATAGTTTTGCCGAGTTCGGTCATGGTCACGTCCGCGTCTGACTGATGCTCTTGAAATCAGCACCAGCGCTGCTCGGGCGCCTTCATGATCACCGGACATACCCAGGTAGACTCAGAACGCCTGGTCAGCGACAAACTCTTGGACTCATGGAGGTGCCAGTTGAAATCAGAGCTGGGCCGCTGCAATGCAGAGGCCCAGCCTTATACCAGCAAAGATGCTCATCAACACACTTGATGAAGCACAAAGATGTTTGTATGGAATCGCAGTGCTGCGAATTAAGAACGCATCTCCCACTGCATGTCGCGAATGGTGCAACAGATGGCCGCCGAAGTTGCACTGCAGAGGTCATGAGTCATGAGGCAGCTAGCTGAGAGCACAACCTGCCAGATGCTTTCAGGTGCTTCCGAGACGCAAGAGACACTATGCCCCTTGGCCAGCGCCTCACGGAGCCGCGTGGAATCTCTGTAGGCTGGAGAAGCGACACAGGATTTTTCGATCGACAGGTGATATGCGAGTTATGCGTGTGTATCTGTGTGTATACGCCTGGACATGGTGAGCATTTCTTGCTGCTGGGGGACAGGGAGTGCAGAGGGGCTCCGTCCAACGAAGCTCCCCTCCACACTCCAGGAAAACGTACCTGCACGCATCCGCCCTGTGCAGCAGTGAGGGCAGCTGGGGGATGCACTCTACTCTTTTCATATCATTTGGTGTGCCATTCCGTGTGTCTGGCACAGTGGTGCAGAACCCTACCTGAACGGATCATCCATTTTTGCATGCCATTCCTGGTGTCTGGCATGCTTTTGCACCAAAATCTGTTTTCATATCAGGTCCTGCTCTTCTGTCTTTTCATTGTCAGATCCTGTCTGTTGCCAGCCGCAGGTACTCGTGCCAAGCCAAAGTGGGTGTTTGTACTGTATGTATGCAGGTAGGTGGATAGACATACTTGACCAGGCGATTGCTGCTGGTGGCTCCAACTCGTACATCCTCAGCGACATCGGGGAGGCTTCCTGCCTAAGATCGCGATTCCTTTGCGAAGATTCGAAAGTTGGTTGACGTTCCCAGACAGGTGTTCCTGTATGGTCAGCTGCGATCCCTGGGCAGTGACACCTGCACGCTGCGGCACCTTTGGGGTCACCGGGCAGCACTTGCTGGGCTTCTGGGTTCGGCCGAGACTGAGAGGCTTGGGGTCACGTGATCTTGGGGTCGTTTCGCACCCGAGCTTTCACAGCTTCCTCTAAAGTGCCGTTCGCGGCTTATCAGTGCATGAGACATGCGTGCTCCACATCCAGACTCATATTCGGTGCAAGAAGCTTGGTTTAGCTGAAGACCCCGTTTGAGCTACTGGTACTCCGAGGTTGTCCCAGGCGGAGCGGGCTCCCCAGCTCGTGCAGATCCGGACGTGTCTTAGTGCCACCTCGCCCCTTCCTGCTTCTGGGAAGCTGAGGTTTGGAGCTCCAGGCCCGGGAAACTCTGACAGTGACAAAGGCATCATTTTGTCTCCTGGTTTTCCTTGTGTTAGCGGTTTTGAGCCATGGAGCTTTGGATGAGTCACCTTGATGGAGGTTCTCCGAATTGCGGCCGGCTGGCGGCACGTGCTATTGCTGACCAAGGCAGTGATTTCTTGGACATCATTTATGGCGTCGAAGTGCTGACTCAGCACGGAGCTGCAGGCAGGTTCAGTGTTCGCCATCGGTGAGGACGACTACGGCCAGTGTTCCGGCTGTGGAACCGGCCAGGCCAGCCAAACAACACCTGCGCACATTCAGTCTACGCAATTCCAGCCCGACTTCCCAACTGTTGACTTTAAACTCTCAACTCATCTTGAATCGTGCGCAGTTATCTGTCTGTGGGGCCAAGTCTAAATCTTCTGTGCCAGGTTGCCATCGCAGAAGCCAGCAGAGGCGCCACGGAGTTCCCACATGTTTGTACGGGACGGCAGATCGCGGGTTGCAGAAGTACTCTGATGCCTTCCTTAATTTACAGGTAGCAGGTAACAGTTGTAGGTGAATCCTGAAAAACTCAGGCTCCCATACTCAGGAAGACCCAGGGAAGGTGTTAGTCCAAGCTTTGATAATGTCACTGTCACTCGTTGTTTTTATGGTCTTTCTCGAGTCGGAGGAGCCATCGGCGTGGCAGCGGGTGCTTGCCACTCTGTTGTCACAGTCCCGGCATGGGCTCCGCGATTCTGCGATGTTTGCCGTACTGCTGCGCAGCTTAAGTTTAGGGCCGTGCTCGAAGAGTTCCTTCCCCTTTGCTCCTCGTAGCCCCCAAGCCCGAAGCCATCAACCCCGAAGCCCGGATCCCGTTTAAAATGACCCATGCCTAGAGTCAACCTTCTAGGAGCTCCTTATTAGTAAATTAGTAAATTAGTATAACCCTGCAGCGAGCCCTAAACTAAACCCAACAACAGAAAGAAAAAGGCCCCCCCCCCCCCTCCCCCCCTTTCTCTTAGCTCCTCCTCTTTGGCCCAGGCTTGGGGCAAAGGCGGAGCCTTCAGCTGGGGCCACGGCGGGGCCGGCCGGCTTGGCCTGGGGAGCACAGGCACGGCAGGGGGGGGATTTGGGGGGATGGGGGGGGGGGGTTCTGAAATAATCTCTCTTCAAGGAAGGAGTCTCTAGGATTCTCTTAGCGCGTACAGCTACTGCTTGGAGGGTGATTGCAAGGATTTTGCTAGACGGGCTTACTTGAAGTGTTGCCATTATGGGAGCTTCGATTGCGTTAAACACCAGCCAAACGTGACGAGCTGAGCGGCTGAGTCACTCATTGTGATCTGGATAGCACTCAACAGTCCGATTCCCGTGCTCCTGCTGAGACCACCAGCGGCTGCCCGTGCAGATTCAGGCGGATTCTTCGCAGGGATTCTGGGATTCGTGTTTCGAAGAGTCCTTGGTCTTTTTTCCTTTTTCCCTGTAAAACAATCATCTTATTATACCTTACCCTTATCAGAACCCTAATGGATCCTGACAGTAACCTGTGCAGCTAAGAGATCTACGGTACATCCAAGTTTTTTCCGTTAGGCCTTCAACGGCCTCAGCGTGCTGACGGAGTCTCAGACGTCCCGGAGTGTTTTTTTGCTGTCGAGTTTCAAGGGTAGACGTGCTCACCTTCAAGCCAAGAAGCCTCGACATACTGCATGCACATGTGGCGTAGGATCTGGGATATGGAGTTGAGAGTCTCATGGACTTCCGGATGCTTCGGACAGGGGGCTCAGGGCTGGAGTCGTAAGGTGAAGTTTATTGAAGGGGGTTATTGCAAGGCTTGCTGCAAGCGGTTGAAGATAAGCATCGTCTCGGACTCTGGCAAGCAGACGAAGGGCTCGACCTCTCCCCCCCTCAAATTTGTCATGAGGCATGCCAGTTGTGGTGCGAACTTCACAGTCTTCGTGCGGCTTGCCTCAACCGCAAAGGGCAGTTGGTAGTCGCGAACGAGGAAAATCTACAACAGTGTTCGAATGGACAAGTGTTCCAAGGACAGCTCCCACCAGGGTTGCTGTGGCGGGATCAGGAGCCCTGGCCTCGGATATTGCGCGCAGTTTCTCCTTCGACTTCTTCGTGCCAGCACGGGTTTGCTTTTAGCAGAGGTTCGTGTGTGGTCGTGTGGGGGCAACCAATACGGTCAGCTGGGCATTGGTACTGTCCCCAGAATGATGGCCGCTTGCTGCGGCTTTCTGAAGTTGCTGCCTCATCCCGCAGGTGAGATGGAGGCATCTTCGCAGATCCTCACGCAAGCAGCTCAGCCGGCCTCGGCGGATGCTTCGGGAGACACAATCGCAGAGGCCGAGGATCGTCGACTTTGCTTTGCTGGGTGGGAGCGCCTCGAGAACTCGTGGCACCCATGGCATCGAGGCCGTGGAAGGGCTGGAGCAGGGAGCCTCAGGGAGCCTCAGGGAGCCTCAGGGAGCCTCAGGGAGCCTCAGGGAGCCTCAGGAGCCTCGCCTCACAGAAAGCGTGCAGAATCTGTTCCGGACTCGCCGAGTCACCCAGGTGCGGTGCTCATCATGTGATCTGCCTCACGCGACCGCCAGGCACAGAGAGAGCGAGCACTGCTGCACTGCGTGTCAGTGGGACCTCGCAGGTCACGACAGAAGGGTGGTCTGGGCGTGAGATCCTCGGATGGGAGGAGCTAGCGACCACGCATGCGAGCCTCCGAGTCTCAGGTGGGGCTCTGCTGCTCGAGGGCAGCACGCACCTCGGAGCTCGTCCCACATCCTGCAAAGCATGTCAATTAGTTCACCGCACTGTCGCTGTAGTCGAGTCGTAATGGAGGTCCAGCAGGCAGTGAAATTGCTGTTGTTACAAGCAGACACAAGCGGACTTATGCCTTTATGTCTGAGTCTCTCGTCCAGTCTCCCGTGTCGATGGAATGTCCACCGTGTTGGCAGCGGAGAGCGTCGAAGGCCTCTTCGTCCTTGTGTGTGTGTGTGTGTGCGCGTGCCTGTCTCGGCCGTGTTTTTAAAAGCATGTCTGGACCACTGACGAGGGCGTAATGACAACAGTAAGGCAGGTGCCGTTTCCTCCGTTCAATACCACATTGAGATGGGTTACGTGCGGGCTCACCACCGAATGCGGCTGCCAATCGGTTCGGGGGTCTGATGTTCGGACGCCGTCCTTGTCTTTTCCTCCATCAGGTCTCTATAAAGGATTCCTTCAAAGGAACCCTACGTAACCCTATCATAGGTCCCTGTAAATATCCTAAAGGCTCATGTTTCGTTCACTGCGGCTAAGATGCGGCCGGACCTTCGGAGAACGCGCGGAAGACATTGTGCCCAGGCCGCCCACTGCAATTTTGCTGGGTTTCGGGCTTCAGGATGACCCGACTGCTGCGAGGCGCTGGTTTCCCCAGTCGTTGGCCGATTTCTCTCCACCTTCCGTGCACGCTTCTCAGCCTGTCCCGGAAATCGGAGCTCTTCTGTGCCTGCGAGGAGCCGCGCTTCTTGGGTTCATGGGGCATGTCGGAAGTTTCAGATATCAACGGCGTGTCCGCTGCATTGCGTAAGTCTTTCCCAGGCATTGGCCGGTAGGCATTGCTGCTGGACGTTCGCATTCTGCTGTTCTTGCTCGGGCACTCGGACCGCAGGGCACCTAATGCTTCATCTGCGGAGCTAAACAAGGAAGAGCCGGCGGGGCCCATGATGGCCATGATTGCTCTGATTGGCTTTACTGTTGCGGTGTCACATGTCTATCTCCATCCAAGCATGTATACCTCTGAACTAAGTAAAGTGATCACCATAATATGTACAACTCTGGATGCATAGATGAACTACTGGAAGTAAATAAGTAGCAAACAAGAAAACAGATCGACACAAGGGCAAGTACAAATACACAGACAAGCTACACTGAATAAAATCATGCATAAACAGACGAAAGCACACAGATATTGGAATGGACTTTCGACCGCTACGTCACTATTCATATCGGTGTTTCTCTCTCTCTCTACATGGTAGCCGGCTTTTCGAAGTATAGTATATGTACATGCGCATGTATATGAGTATATGTATATGGAGTGAGGTGTCTCAAGATATCTGAGGTTGAGCCATGGCAACGAGGGGAAAGATGCGCCCCTGCCAGATGCGCTTGCATGGGGCAGTGCCACCTGGCCGCAATCAGCGACCAAGAAAGGAATCGCAAAAGGCTTCTGGAGGGGTCGTATCTTTTCTGCTTTAAGCGTCTTGGGCTTAGGTGGGCAGCTCCGCCCGTCCGAAAGAGCTCCACGTGAAGAAGGCACACTCAGCGGACCTTGCAGTTGCTGATGGTTGTTTGCTGTAGCAGCATGGCCCTCAATTTTCTGTCTTGGCCAGGACATGCCTCCGGCCGTGGCCGATTTCAGGGCCAGTGCGGGCCGAAAGAGCAGCCAGGTGACCAGAACCGACAAACTGCCGTGTGTGATCCGAGGCTTGGCAGTGGCCAGCGACAGTCAGAACGCTTGGGCGCGCAGAGCTCCAAGGCGTCCAGCCCAGGCGCCACAGCACTCGTTGACACTTTTCGGCGAACAGTATCTTTTCCTGCGTTTCGTGCACAGCGACCGAGCGAACTGTCGACTTGCTAGCGACGAGGGCAAGAAGAAGCTGTTTTGTTCGGCACCTGGGAGGAGTCTCATGTCATAGACGTGTTCTGCCAAAGATTGGCCTCTCAGCCGCGGTCTCAGCAGAACATTTGCATGATTACACGTATCTCTCTTCTAGTGTTTTTTGTTGCGTGTGATCTTTTTAGTCCAGATTTGTTGCGGCTGGAAATCAAGCTTGAGCCGTGAGCACCCTGCGATGAGTTCCTTTGGCTCGAGTGGTGCGAGGAGTCCCTTCCGTGTGAATAATTGGTATGATTCCGTTGATCGCCGGAATTTTCCGCATCCCGCCGTCCCTGCGCAGAAATCCCCCGCGCTGTGTCCCGTCGCAGGCCTCCCGGGCGCTCGCAGTCCTTGCCGGGCAGATCCAGGCCAGGGCTGGGCTGCACTGAGCCGAGGCTTTTGGTGGAATCTTTAGGATCCTTAGGTCCGCCATGCAGAGCTTGATCCACATGGGAGAGGAGGTCCTCAAAGACTCGGAGAGGCCAGCGGTCTGCCTGCGCGGGTAGGGGGATGGTGTGGGGTCTAAGCCTGGTAGGCTGCGGAACTCGTGGGCGCCAACTCATTCAGGCGTGGGCGTTTTCGTTTGTCTGCGTCGTTCTGCATCCTCGGCTGCCGCCATCCTTTTTGACTGGTCATGCTTTGCAGCACTTTGGCTCAACTCAACCTCAGCATGAATTTGGTAGGCCTGGTCCTAGGCTCAGGTGCCACGGCCGCGCCGGCGTGGGCTTCCCAGGGACTGCGGCTCCAGAGCTTCGCAGGCCCGGCGCCGAGGCCAAGGCCTCGGCGCCTCTCCTGGCGACTCGCCGTCGCTGCAGGCGGGCAAGCAGAAATCGTGGTCCGGAGAGCGCTGTTGCCGTGCCTCATGTCCTCGGTAGTGCTCGGTCCGAGGAGACTCCGCAGTTCGTCCACATGACGGGCAGTTGGTCGGAGCATTTGGCTATCGCAAGCTTCAGCGGGCGGAGTGGGCGTCAGTCACGGTCGACGCTTGGTTTGCAAAGCGAGTTGGCGTGCCTCGCACTTTGGGTCATCAACAGCAGCTTGATGTAACGGGCATGCCCTGCGCTTTGCCAAGGCTTCGATTGCTTTTGTGTGGCTTCTGGCAAAGACGCCGGGGCCGTGGCGCTCTGCCGCTGGGACACTGATGTCGGCAAGGCAGCATGTCAGGATGCAACCTGTCGGCAGGGCAGGCTTTTTTCTTCAAGATGTCAACTTGGTGCCTGCGAGGGTTAAGAGGCAAAACTCGGATTTCCAAGGCTGCTGTGCTGCCTGAGCATCATTTGGCTCGGTGGATCTTTCTGGGCCACTCTTCTACTACTTGGGGTGTTGTGGAAGATGACTGTCGCAAAGCCAGAGCTTCAAAAGCCGTCGAGCATTCTCCCATCCTCTTTGAGCAGGATTGTGAGACTGGAGAAGCTAGCGCTTCATCTGCTGCAGTCAGAGTCCGAGAAAGAGGCCGATGTCTCCAAGGCGGCGATGCTCTGTTGCCATGGCTTCGGTGCGAATGGGACTTCCTACGAGGAGGTGCTGCCCCTGTTCCTAAAGTCGGGCTTGGCCTCCGTGGTGCTGTGTCCGGACCAAGTTGGCTTCGGGCTGACAGAGAGGCCCAATCTCGTCTTCAGACGCGGGATGTCCTTCCGGACAGGGGACCAGACGACTTTGGGCAACCTCTCCGCGCCCCAAATGTACACACTCCCTGGCAACGCCATCCTGGCTGGCACATTGCTGGACAGGGAATGCGAGCTTCAAAGGAACTCCCTGATCATCGGCCACTCCATGGGAGCGCCTCATCCTGCTTCTTTCTGTCCTTGGAGGGAGTTACGGGTTACGTGCAGTGGCCGAGGCTATCACGGCATCCGCGGTCGCAGTGGCCAGGGCAGACAGAGATCCCGGTTCCGTTACCTTGGTTTTGGAAACCTGGTATTGGAAACCAGAAATTGCTCGCTTCTGATGGCGGGGCCTTTGCTACAAGTTTGAGAGCCCAAGCGCCCGTCTTCAGGAGAGCCCCGCGTTTCTGGTGAAGCCGTCCAGCGATTCAACAACTAGAAGACTTGGACGTGCGGCTCGGAGCAGAGTCAGCGCAGGGAGGCGCAGATGAAGGGCAGATGTGAGGTCAGAAAATGACGCACCCAGGTTGCAGTCCTGGGCTTGAGACTGCTGCGCCTCTTCCTGCGCTTCGTGCTCCAACTCCCAGGTCTTACATACAACAGGTGGGTGAGCGTGCTTGCAGCTGTGAGTTTCGCGATTCTGAACGATCCCTCCTGAACAGGCTTTTCTGGCGCAGTGGATTGGCATCTGCCTACGCTGACATGGGTGCGGAACGTTTGGACAAGCAGGTCCTCCTGTACCGCTTGGTTCTTATCGGCGAGATTTGGGAGACCATGCGATACACAGTACACAACTGCAGCCGGTCCAATTGCAATTGCACAAGCCTTGTCTTCCCAGTCCCAGGTTGGCCAAGCCTCTGCGAGGGGTGGGCTCTGGGGTTGGCAAACTTCGTGTCAGTGCGGCTGCTCTCCATCAGCGAGGATGGGCGACCCGAACCCGCCGGAGCCTGTTCTTCTCAGCTGTGGTGGGAGAGAGTGCCAGGATGGTTTGGTGCTGCAGCGGCTGGTCGATGCTCCTGGGCACAACGGGGGAGGACTTAGCAAGGGCCCAGCAGGGTTTGTCTTGTCTTGGAAATCATGGCGAAGAGTTCAACCTTCGTTGATCATGTCGAAGCGGGAAGAGTGGCGGGTCGCGACCTGCTCATCCTGACCGAGGCATGCAAAGCTCGCAAGCTTCGTGTGCTGATCGTAAGTGGGGGCAAGGACCCGCTGCAGCTCCTTGCAGATCCGAAGGGCATACATGGGCTGATGTCGTCCTTTCTTGCCCTTGGGCGAAGAGCTTCGTCTGGACTGTCGCTTCAAGTAGGACCGGGTGGTTCCGCTTGGGAACAGCACACGCTTGTCCGAGCTGCTGGGATGTAAGCTGCAGACGATCCAGGCACATGTGGGGGTTTGCATTGGTCTATGAGTCTATGATCGTTAAGTCAGCTTGCAAAAAGCGATTGCCCTCAGGGTTGCGGACACGTCGCCCATGAGGAAGATCCAGTGAGATTCGTTCAAGTAGTGTCAGACTTTGCGAACTCCAGCTCCGGCAGTGTCGACGGAAAAATGCTACATTCGCTGTCTCTTTTCGCCAGCGTTTCATGTAGCCACGTCATGGAGTGGCGCCAGGTCGACCCAATGTCAATATGCGGGGCAAGGGTGCTCGCCTTTGTGCCAGTGCATGGCCCAGTCGGGGAAAAGTTCCCTTACGTGTATGGGGCCGTGCGTGTACGTTTCCACACTCCATAGACTCCTCTGAACGACAAAGGCAAAGCCACATCATGGCGAACAGAGTGGGGTGCACAGCAATTCCGGCGTACAACGACGAAGTTCATCCGTTTCTGTTTGGAATGTGCAGAATGCTTGGGTTTGCTTCCGAGACCTCGGACGGCTCAAGCGCTGGCCCGTCCAAGAGGCTTTGAAGCGGCCGAGCTCTCGGACTCTTGAGCTGCCTGGGGCCTGCGCGCTGCCCATGCACAATACATACATACATACATTATACATTATATATATACACACATATATTTGTATATCTATATATATATATACACACACATCACATATCATATATCACAGCAAGTTCCATGCAACATGCAACGAGCACTGCGGTCCTCAGGCTGGATTTGTGCCGCCTGCCAGAGAGAATGCAGGCCGCTGTGCGTGTTTGCACGGGACGATCGGAGCACCGAGAACTTTGAGCCGCTCCGTGAACTCAGGGCGCAGAGCAGGAGGCGGCCAAGAGGGCTCTCCATCTGCCAGGCACAACCCGTGCTCTTTCGGAGTCACTCCGAGTTTGGGATCGAAGGGTTCGCACAGGATGCAAAGATCGTCCTCCCTGCCATACATGCCGGTCGCGGTCTCATGCTGGACTGGCTGCGGCAAGTGGCCGTTGTGTTTTTGGACAGACCAGATCAGACAGTATTTGCCAGAACATGCCAGAACGCAGGGCCACGGGGAAGCTGTCAAGCGATCAGGAAGGGTTCAGCACGCAAAGCTCGAGCGCCCTTCCGTCCCAGCGTGTCGGCCTTGACATGTTTTCATGTTCCCGTGAGAGAAGCCACAAAGACATGGCTTTGGGCCTGACCGAGGACTCCCGAACACCGGGACACATCTCCTGGCCAAAGAAAGGTCTTGGCCTTGGGCTGAGCTCAGCATGGATCTCGCCAAAAGGGCTGGTTGCGCCTCGATTGATGCATCATCGAGTTATATCGAGTTCAGAAGTACTCCCGAGCCGCCCCGAAGTGCCAGCTTGTACCAAACCTGGTTGGACCTGCCATTTGTTGCACGCCTCTCCCACAGCCCCCGCTCCTGCTGATCTATAGGCCCAGGCGACCCCGCCAAAAGCCAGTTCGCAAGGAGGCGCGACGAACAGCCCACTCTTGCATGTCTGCTTCAAGTGAATGATGTGACAGTATTTCCCTCAAGGGTCCTGGGTGGTGGACTGCAGATACATCCTCCGACGAAGACCAAGAGGAGGCCGTTCCGTGTGTTTCGGTGCAACGCCCTGGAACTTGGTTCTGCAGGGAGCGAGCCTTGGGTGTGAGGCTCCGTATGTGACCCCCGTTGCCGTGGCCGTGGCGTGGGAGACCTGGAAGCCAGTGTAGTCTCCTTTCATGTCCAGGGACCGTGCAGCTGAGGCCGAGCCGCCCCGAACCTGACATCAAGGCACCGGTGGCTTCTGTCAGCGGCCTCAGCCCGCGACGGGAGACACTAACCGGCCGTACGGCAGACGGCCGTCCTGAACAACTTCCTGTCTTTGGACCTCATGGGTAGCCTCTCTGAAGGCCATCCCGTCATTGAGCGAGCAGCGCTGGTCTCGCCCTCGTTGCGCATGGAATGATTGGATTCTGAGGGATTTTGGACGCGTGCAGAGGTCCGGCGTGCACAGCGCCCTTCATGACCTAGAGTCTATGATAGCTGGAGGCCCAGCTAATCCTGTACTCACTCCGTGAAGATCAGTGAAGCAAAGCATCCCGAAGCCTAAACCTTCAAGCCTTGACCCCATAAATGTCGCGTCCGTCTCTCATGCTGCGAGACTGCCGAGCTAAGGCGCAGATTAGCGATGGGGCAAGTGCACCCAAACACCTCTTCGGCCATCGTTCAGGCTTCTGGAAGACCGTGCTGCTAACCTTTGAATTGCAGGAAACTCGTATCCGTAGCCGCACTGGGCCGTACTTGGACGTGAGAAATTTGAATGGCTGTCGGGGTAGCGCTCTTAAAAAGCAGGCAACCTTACCAGCTTCACCGGGGGAGCAGACTCTGCTGCCGGGAGCGCATCCAAGTCGGCTGAGGCATCAGACAGGGAGCTGGGTCTGTGTCTGCATCAGCTTCTCACGCGGACTGTTTGCTGAAGGTGGCTGTTTTGTTGATTACCCGGCGAGATACCGTGTGTTGCGATGTGCCTAGCAGTATGTGCTTCCAATGCTGCTTCCAGGCTTCTCGGTTGGCGAAGTTCTCCGGATCGCTGCCAGGCTCCACGTGGGTGAAGGGCTGATTCTGGGGTTCCGGCTCCGGGTTTGGAAAGCTCAGGCAGTTGTTGCCTGTGGCCCTCCTCCGTGTGCAAAGCCGGGCTGTGGTCTCCGGCAGGTGGCCCACTGGCAGAATCGAGCAGGAGACAGCGCTCTGTTACCGTTGCTCTTGCGTTGCTCTTGCATGGCTCCTGTGAGGACCACCAGTACATGCTTTCAGTTGAGATAGAATTTAGCTGTCACCATCCGCGTCCCTTAGCAGGACTGCTGGCGCCTCCAGGGTGAACGCAGCTCAGGTCGTGCATCAGGTGTGGGTCGGTCTTCGGTGCACGCGAGACACAGGGGGAATCGTCTCGATGCCATCCAACGCGATTGCATGTACACCCTCCGTGACCTGCTGCTAGCTGAACCGAATGACTGGGCAGGATCCTGCAGCCCTGTCTGCGGGGCGACCATCCACACCGTCAGGTGGAACCTTGTCCTTGCTGTTGTAAGCTGTCTCTTTGGTGCTCGTGCCGTGATAATTGGTCGGTGTTGTTAGCTGCACGTAGATGGACTGGTCAGTGCTTCCAGCCTGCACTGACCGACGACTGTGTGACCCTGAAGGCTTGTCAGGTCGTGGTGGCTCTTGTGCCGCCCTGGGAGAGCATGCGCAAAGTGATCCCTGTGCTGACCATGGCCAAGCACCTTCGTCGCCTGGGAAAGCCGATGCAGCCCGTCTGCAGTCAGGGCGGTGCGAACGCTTCTAGACAAAAAACCAGCATCTTCTCCTCCCGGTCTTACTGAACACTTGGTTGAAGACCTCGGATCATCTCGGATCCCCAACAGACTCACATGTCCTTGCGGCTTTGGATGGCTGACATCTGCTGACTGGCTCCAAGGCGTACGCTCAAACGGATCTCTCCGGCCCCGGCCCAGGTCCGCCTTCGGTTGGACGCCGTGCAATTTCCAGCACTCGTGAAGCCAGGTCATCAAGGAAGCGAAGCTGCTCACCAGGCCGTCCGACAGGCTGCGGTTTGGGCGGAAGAAGAACCTCCGTCTCCGCCTCGCCTTGAGGCTGTGTTGGCGCAGAAGGCCGAGACGGAGAGCCCGGGCTTGGGCCTGGGGCCGCCGATGGAAGTCACGGAAGCCAGCACAGCGCACCCGGACGTGTCCAAGTCCGAAGTGGCCGACGTGGGATTCTCGGCAGCAACCTGGGCAGGAGGGGTTCCCCAAAGCGCCACAAGTCTGTTCGTTTGGCACCCGATGCGTACCTCTCTCGCCTTGCATGCGAGCAGGTAACACGTTGCTGACCATCCCGGACAAGGATTCCGCAAGTCCTTGCGAAGTCTTCTGCTGTGTGTGGAGACAGCTTGGCGAAATTTGCTAGGTCTGCTAGGTCTGCTAGGTGTTGTAAGACGAAGATCCCAGGCAGGAACATGTGTGGACTTGCGGCGATCGCAGGAAGGACCGAGCTCTGACATGAACCGGTCACCCTCCTTGTCGCCGATCCCCCACGAGGCCAGGCTGCAAGGCACGTTCTCCTAAGTTCTCCTCAGTCCCTCGCTTCGAGGGTTCCCGGAAACTCCAAACTCGCAGCCCGAAACCTTCGTGAGTTTTGATCTTCTATTCTTGTTCCTAGGGAGGCCTCGACATGACGGTCGACGACTCGAGCGGCCTGGCTTCGCAACAGACGACATGATTTGAGGGATATTTCTTTGGGAACGTTACGGTCTCGGTCTCGCGATTTCCCGTCGCGGAGGGCCCTTCTCGCTGGAGAACTCCAGCAGGTCTGGCAGCGAAGACGAAGGCCAGGATTTGTGATGAAAGAGTCCTTGCTCTCATTGCAAGCAGCTCGCATGTTCAGACTAGGGTTTGCGGTGCTGCGAAAAGGGGGGAACGTCTGGCACAGTGGCTTATTTTGCACCGCTCACTGATCCGCAGGGCCGGCTGCGCAGCCTCAGCCAGCGCAACCTGGCCAGCAAAGTGCCCGAGGAATGCCTCTGTGTCATGTCATGTCATGTCCCTTCTCGATCCTTCTTGCCTTGTGCCGAGACCTCGGTTCTTCAAGGTCAGCCCCGCCTCTGCCTGCGCCGGCACCGTTGCCAGGCCGAGGTCCATCTGCGCCGCAATGCCCCGCATCCGGGGCACCATGGAAGTCTTCGGGACCCTTCAGGAGCTCCAGCTGCGAAAGAGCTGCCCATTGATTCCTCAAGCGACAGCAACAGCGAGAGCTTGGGCCATTTGGAGCTGACCGACGGCAAGCGAGGCGCCGTCTGCGCCGTCGCAGTCGCGGAGTCTTTCTTCAGCTGAGGGGCTTTGCTTGGTCAGGAGCTGCAGCAACGTCTGAGTCCAAAGCCATGACTGGCTCGGAAAGCGAGAGCGACGGGCATCTGGAGCTGGCTAAATCCAAGCCAGGCGAGTGTCCTTGCATTGCCGCTGTGCCGGGTCTCACACGCTGTGCAGGCGCTTCGAAGTCGGCTGCGCAGATCACAGATGACTTGGGCGTGCTGGGCGCCTTGCGCAGCGGCAGCAGCAGCAGCAGCGGCAGCAGCCGGGTCGAAGTTGCCAAAGCCAAGCCAGGTGCCGCATTCGATGACTGGGCTTTTCCCGCTTTGGAGCTTGTGCAAAGACCAACGCCTCATTAGCCTTCTCCGATGATGACACACGAACTTCTGATCTGCTGATTGGTGCCTTCGAGGTCTAAATTCGGAAATCCAACACGTAAGATGTTGGTAATGGGGGTTTTCCGATGAGGGCAGGCATTTCTAAGGGAAGCTGCCGGATCCCTCCCCTGCGGCCAAGCCTCAGTGTGTTCAGTGTTTTGACGGAAACTTGGCAGGTAGCGATGGTATCATGGAGGCGCCCTGAAGTGCCAAGCTGATCCACTCAGGGCCTGAACCCACTGAACAGTATCTGGAGCATGGGAGCATTCGTGCAGAATTGCTTGAGAAGCGCTGAAACCTTGCAGCCTGCAGAGTTTCTCGCGGGTCCAGACAGGTTGAGAGTGCCGATGACAGCAGCGATGGGTTCTGAGCAGCTAGGCTGAGACCTCTATGGCCAACTGAAACACTGCGTCATGCAGCAAGTGCAACCCTGTAAAGCTATGGAATTGGTGCTATGCACCGCAATTCGGGCCGAAGCAGGCGGAAGTAGACCCCCGTACATCAAGCTGGGGTACCAAGAATCCAGAAAGCAGAAGCCCCACTGCAGCCTCTGCCTGCTTCGATAGTTAGCGAGAGCTGGGATGTCTAGTGCGACCGGCGAGACGGAATTGCTGCAGGTCGGCCAAAGGATTTCGTAGGCTTCATGCTGACCGTTTGAGTGAGCAACAACTTCATCGGGTCCCTAAATCAATATCTCCTCTTTAACGCTCCCTGTGCTGGTGCTAGTAGCAACGGCATGAGCTGCAGCTCCACCTTGACTCCATGCACATTGAGACATATCTCAGAATTGAACTCGAAAGGCGTGGTGCATGACCATCCCACGGACCTGAGTGCATTTCTCATCGACAACAAGGCCTGGCAGGGTGAGCTGTTCTCTATCAGGGCCCCCGTGGGGAAGGATCCTACAAGTGACCAGAGTAGACCTCCGAATGGGAGCATGGAAACGGGGGACCCCGAGTCTAGACGCTGTCTAGAAAGATCCTTTGTACACAAACTACAAGAAGGGGGCTCCATTTCAAAAGCAAAATACAAATGCCAGGAATCAAGCGGAGGCCTTAAACTCGCAACGACCCTGCTGTGGCCTCCGTGTTCGCAGGTCGATCCGAGCCAGTTGGGTGAGTTCATGGGCGAGGCCAGGCAAGAGCTGTCGACATGCTTGGGTTTTCGGTTGCTAGTAGCAGTAGTAGTAGTAGTAGTAGTCGTAGTCGTAGTAGTAGTCGTAGTCGTAGTCGTAGTCGTAGTCGTAGTCGTAGTCGTAGTCGTAGCCGTAGTCGTCGTCGTAGTAGTAGTAAGAAGTAGTAGTAGTAGTAGTAGTAGTAGTAAGAAGTAGTAGTAGTAGTAGTAGTAGTAGTAGTAGTAGTAGTGTAGTGTAGTAGTAGTAGTAGTAGTAGTAGTGATAGTAGCAGTAGCAGTAG